TCTGTACATGGTGGCTCATGCTTGTAATACCAGATACTTGGAAGGTGGAAATAGGAGGATGCAGTGTAAGGCCAGCCCTCAGCAAAACTGTGAGAACTTATCAGAAAAACTAAAAGCAGTAACACTAGTCACGGCTCAAGTGATTGAGCAATTGCTCAGCAAGTACAGAGCCCAAAGTCCAATCTTCATTTTTTTTTTTTGTCGGTCGTGGGGCTTGAACTCTGGGCCTGGGCGCTGTCCCTCAGCTCTTCAGCTCAAGGCGAGCGCTCTACCACTTGAGCTACAGCGCCACTTCCGGTTTTCTGGTGGTTTATTGGAGATAGGAGTCTCACGGTCTTTCTTGCCCGGGCTGGCTTTGAACCGCGATCCTCAGATCTCAGCTTCCTGAGTAGCTAGGATTACAGGCGTGAGCCACCAGCGCCCGGCTCCAATCTTCATTATTGAAACAAAGAAAATCTTAGATCTTCTTGGATTTAAAAGAAATCTAAAATTGAGATGTTGAGCTATTTAGAAATGAGCTCAGGTGAACACCAGGCAAAAAAGACAAGGTACTCAAAAGAAAAATGTACAACAAAGTGAAAACAGCAATGACTTCTAAATGTCCTATTGCCCATCAAGTTGGTAGAGATGGAAAGGCAAGGCATATATGTAATGTACATATAACATGATATATGGATATATATCATGTTATATGTACATTACATATAGGCATGTATATGTTATATATATTATATATAGGCATATATATAACATATATATATATGCTTTACACACACACACACACACACACACACACATAATCACATAATACTGCTGTGTGGGCAGCCAGCCTTCCCATGGGTGTGGGTGGATGTGTGTCTTGCTATAATATCTAGGGGGAAATTTGAGGACATGTGCCAAAATTTGCCTTCTAAGAATGTATCTTAAGGACATCATTGGTTATCTGAAGATGCATGAACAAGGATGTTCCATGGGGTAAAAGTGTGAAAAACATTCACTTTATCAATAGAGGAGCAGTTAAGTCGATTACAGCTCTGTGCTTAACAGAGTTCTGCAGTTATCAGACAGGATGAGGCAGATCTATATACATTGACACAATAAGACGATGATGTATGACTAAGTGGAAAAACAAAAAGCCAGTCACCGAGATGGTCTTGTTTTACAATCGGTGTTTACTAAATTTGCTTTTGGTCTATATTTCCACAGAAATGCCTGAAAATAGATATCAATAGAACAAATACACACCAATGGCTATGTATGGAGGGGTAAAGACACAGAGACAGATAGTGGGAACTTAGGGTTTATGGCTTATTTACCTTCTTTATTGCTGCATTTAGGATTTTCAAAAATGAGTATCTAGTTTTGTACAGAAAAATTCTACAAATATAGTCCCAGTAGAAAAAAATCTAACTAAGGACTCAACATAAGAGTGTCTCTTTCATGTCCATATAATTATTAATTTCTTAACTTTGCTGCTAGCTGTTTCAATAAAGTAAGGTGAGAAAGGAGAGGGAGACAAAGGAGGGAGGGAGAAGGAGGAGAGAGAGGCCAAGAAGAGAAGGGAGAAATAAGAAGAGGGGAGAGGAGAAAGAGAGGAAAGAGAGAAGGCAGGAGAGAAAGCAAAAAGAGGGAAAGGAGGGAATAGAGGTGAGGGATGAGAGACAGGATTGCACAGACACAGCACACAGGTGTACATGTGCGTAGGGTGGGAGGCTGGGTGGGGACTAGGAAGGACAAGCATCTCAGGACTCTCCATGCTAATGTCTTAATGCAGCCAGAAGATCTCTTCCCGTGGCTACAAGGGGCCTCCCAAGAGAAGACTGATGCTGCCTTTGCATTCTGTCTCCCATCTCCTTACATACATTTACAGCATGCCTATGGCTCCCTGCGTCCCTCTGCTGGAGAGGGTAGTGTTTGCTTTGATCTGAGCTTCTTGTGCCCCTGCCCCTTGCTGGCTGTTTTAATTAACAAAGACATCTTCATTCCTGCCCACTGATTTCTCAGGCCTTCTTTGTGCCCAGAAGAAGCCTCAATTCCTGGACAAATGCTGCTTGCTGTGCCTCTTAGGGATGCTAATGGGGCTCTGCCCATCACTTTGGAGGATGCTGGCCGAAGGATTAGCAACCAAGTATACTGATGCCAATAATGTACTTACTGCTGTTTCAGCCAAGAAGCAAAAAATGAAGGAAGTACAAAGAGAGAGGCACATATGCCAACAATATTAGCAACATCGTGTCTGGGTGGCAGGTGTGCGTGCTTGGCTACCGTTTTTCAACTTTTCTATCTATTTCAGATAAGAGAACCTCCATTTACATATTTGCTAAAGACAGTGGGTTCAGTTGATGTGATCACTTCCATGTCTCCTGAGTCAGTCCCTTCGTCTCCATCTCTATTGCCACTTCTGGGTCAGCTCACCCAACACACCCTAAAACCCAAGGGACGGACCCAGGCTGGTCCACTCAGTCCATTACCCATGACACTGGCAGGAGTTAAAAAGAACGAGGAGATGCTAGATGCAGCTCACTGTCCCTAGGCCCTCCCAGGTCCGGCCACCCCTGCTCCACCAGCTCCATGTCTCATGGCTGGTGACATCTACCATATCACAGGCAATGGTTCAGCTCCTTGAGGCAGTCCATAGTGCCTACCCTCTTTTGTTGGGAAGCCCCTCACCTTCCCCCCAAACCTCCTCCTTGACCAGAAGGCCATCCCTCAGAACAACATGGTCACCTTTTCCAATATGACTTCTCTGGTCTTCTTATCTGTCTTTCTCATTCTCTTTCTTCCTTAAGTTCTGTACATGTAGGCAGTAATCTCTTTGTGTTCAGTGAGTGGACCTTCTTCACTTATTTAATAGCATGAAGTAAACTAACAGAGATCTACTATCTGAGGACATGAATGACTGAATGGTATGCCAATTTAGGAAAGTGGGCAAACTTTTATGCTTTGCATAGGCACAATGTAAAGTGAGAGTCCATGTGCTCAAATCATTGTTCATTCAGTTTTCACTGAGGGACTAACACTCTCTGTAGTCACAGAGCTACTTCATTCACTGCAAAGGAGATTGCAAAGAGGAGAATTGGGCACAGACCACTGGTCTAGGAGAGTAGGGGGGACAGGTGTATAAATAAAGAGAAAAGGGCTTGGGTCTTAAAGAACTATAAACCACAGGAAATGAGAGTTGGACGAAGGAGGGATGACTCTTAGGAAGAAGTGGAAGAAGTCCTGGTGGGTAAGCTGACACTTGCACTTGACTTTGAGAAATGAGGAATTTTAAACCTAAGTCTTTGGAGGGGGAGATGATTCCAGGCACAGGGCAGAGTTATATGCCAAGGCATATAACTAGGCCAAGAGGGTGGTGTCACTGGCATCATGACCTTAACAGAATGTCCCTGAAGAAAGATGCTGGCAACCAATGTTAGGGTGGTAGGTAAAATTATGGCATCTCTGGAGCCAGAAAAGACATCCAGCCTTTACTCTATGATGGTGTCCTTGGGAGCCAGATAAGATGTACAGCTTTCACCCTATGAGGACCATGTCCTCTTCAGAGGTGAGTGGATCTAGTGTGCTGATAGTGGTTGGTCATCCCAGCAGCAGTGTGCAGGACAAGAGCGGATGTTTAACTAACTTGTCCTCCAGCAACTCAAAGTCCTTCTGAGCAAGGCTGACCTCATTTTGTGCAGGGTATACCTCCAAAGTTTGGACATAGCAAACACTCACTGTATATAAGTCTTAATGAACACAGGAATGTCCATGTCTTACAACTACTGGGCAGTGCTTATTCAGCCAGTTCTTCATTGAGATCTTTCAAGGTCAGGCATCTCTCCTAGCCACAACACCACTCTTTTCTTGGCTCATTCCACCTTCATTCTAAACTCTCAGCAATTTATTCTTGGATCACCTCTAGTGGCTTTCTTCCCATGAGCTCTCTGCACTGCCAATTCCTGGTGGACCAATGCTTCTTAAGAACTTTCTTTGGCTGTGTCTTATTTATTTATCTCTTCCTTATCCACATGTATCTCACACTCTGGTCAGATTGCTTCCTCTCCAGTTTCCATATTCAATCCTCCTTTCACATCCCCACTCATACTGCCACCTCCACCAGCTCTTAACACCCAATGTCATCAGACAAGTCACAGCTCAACACCCAGTCTTTAGGCAGCAAGTTTTCTGATGTATAAAATGATAACAATAATGTCCATTTATAATTATCACATTTGGGTATTGTGAAATGGAATGAGATAGGCCCTTGCACTCCAGAAGTGAAGGGGAGTGTACTCATTTCTTTCCAGGCACTCTGGAACTCCAGTAAGGGATCTATACTATTCAGGGCCTTGTATGAAAGGGAAGCCATACTTTGAGGGAGACAGCAGATACCACTGGGCTTTTGTTGTTTACTTTCTTCACAGCTTAACAAACAAGTGTTTTGTCCTCATTTTAGATATGAGGAATTTGACTTGAGAAAAGGGAGCAACCAGCCTGGGGGAACAGAACTTTAACTGAGCCTACTGACACTCAGGAACTGCATGACACAGTTCCTGAACTGTCATTATGTTCCAAGGGTTGTGCTGAACTCATTACACACAACATCTCACTCAGCGCTTTCTTTCAAGACCCACACTGTCCAGAAAGAGATGATGAGACTCATCAGGGATAAAGGCCTTCCCAAAGTCCCACCAACAGTAAATTCAAGGGTTGGGATTCAAATTTAGCTGAACAGCTTCAAACTCATGCCATTGGCTGCTTTACTGGGTCTCAGCTTACCTAGGTGGTGATGTCCCTGGCTCATGAATGTTACCTTGAGAAATGGGCCTATCCAGGTTTTCCACAGAACCCAGCCCACATCTGGGGTCATGGAAGCTACTGTTGAATTCAAAGGCCTCCAAGGGTGGTAAAGAGTGGAAGTGGAGGTCAGGCATTAGCTAAGGGGGACCTGGTGATGGTGCTGATGATCATTTTCCTTGGCAATTGGCAATGTTAACTTTGTTGGTATGGCCACTTACCCAATGGTGCAGCCAGCGTCTGCTTCTATGGTCCAGATACAGTTGAGATTGTGTTCGTAGGGAGCTGGGTAGCCGGGTGACAACACTTGCCCCGATAGCTCTCCTCTCAGTATTCCTCCACACTCAGCTGAAAGAAATCCCAAAAGAGTGAGTTTGGTTAGGTCTCCCAGTGCCTAGTGGTCACTTGGCGGCTCCTCTGTGCTAGTGGCCCCTAGTCCTTTGCCAGCATTTCAGATGGTTAAGTCAGCTTATAAGAAAGTCCTTGTTGGTTGCATACAATTTCACCATATATATATATGTATATATATATATATGTGATATATATGTATATATCATGTGTGATACGCATGTAATTATATATATGTAATGATATATATGTAACGTATATATGTCACAGTTTTTGATCCATTCATCTATTGTGGGATATGTGGGCTGACTACTGTGAACTGTGTGGGTAGATCTGGAAAACATGTTGACTGAGATAAGACAGGCCCAGAAAGAAAGAAAAATGCATGTTCTTATTCATATGTGGATCTTAGATCCCAAATACAACTTCCCATATAATCACAGATAGGGGCATATGCTTATATACATGATTTAGTTGACTGAAGTACAGTAAATGCAGAAGTAAAATGCCAAAGAGCAAATCTTTTGAACAGTTAACAGATAGTTTAGCAAAATAAATGTGAGAAGCGGAAATGATATTGTAAAGGTGGGCAGGTATGGGGAGCGGCAGGGGGGTGGTGGTGTGGCCGATGAATGAAAAAGGAAAGGGACAAATACAGCAAAAATACTCAATGCATGTATGTGATAAATGAAGCAGGGCATGAGAAATGAGCCTAGGGAGACAAGGATGAAAAGGCTGATTCTGAACAGGAAGCACTGGACACTTAGATGGACACATTAGATTGTAACTCCCTTGTACAACTTTCTGAAGTTCAGAAAAAATTAAATTAAATTAAAATACAAGAAGGTCCCTGGATGAAACTTGTATTCAGGGCATAACCCAAACCCTCTCTACTCAACAATAAAAGGATCCAATTAAAAAATAGGCAAGGGATGAGAATAGATATTTCTTCAAAGAAGACATATGAATGGCCAATATATGTGTAAAAAGATGCTTAATAGCATTTGCCATTAGGGAAATGCAAATCAAAATCACAATGAGATCCCACCTTACCCCCACTAGGATGGCTATAAGGGGAAAGCATGCATATATGACAAAATAGTAAGTACAGGAGAGGATGTGGACAAAGTAGAACCCTCATATGATTGGTAGAAATGTAAGAACAACAATAACAACAATAATAATGAATAATAATGTGCCAGGATGAATGGGCTTATGGTAGGGAATGGAGGAGAGAAAGAGCTACAGTTGGGAGAAAGCCTGTCTGGCCCCAGGAATAGAGCGGGGGAGCTCGGACAGCAGCAGGATACCAATCTTGTCCTTATGTTTCACACAGGACAGTACCTCCTGAGGCATGTCCCTAGGGACACAAATTCTGTTTCTTTCTCCACTGAACCACTTTATCTGAGGACAGGCAAATGACAGGAGTGGCTGAACAGGAGTGGCCTGAAGCAGATTCACCAGCAGTGATACTTTTCCTGGTTTGCTGGGTTTGGCTGGATTTGGTCGCAGGGTTTACTCATCTCCAGAACACACTTACGTCTCCCCTATCATGACATGTGTGAAAATATGCTCATATTGCTCCAAACACATAGCTTCAGTCCCCTGGAAGCAGTGACCAGAGGGGTGTCAGTGGGGAAGGCCATCAAGGCCCAAAGCATAAATGGTCTTTTCAGCCTTGCTTGAGTGGGTTCTCCAAGTCCAGTCTTACCAACCAAATCAATCTTACAGCAAATCCAAAGAAAATAAGTATATCATCACCCTTTACATTTGCCTGCTCTTCCTACTAGCTTATTCATTTTACTGTTATCTGTTTGTGAGTTTATCACCCTGGTGGGCCTGGAAGCTCTCTTCTGTGAATTCCTTGTGCTTGGTCCAGGAATGAAGGAAACTAAACAGGGATGGAGGGAGAAAGGGAAGAGACATGTCCACAGACTGGACAGACCTCAAGGACAAAAGGAAAAGATGACTTTAGAGGCTTCTCACAGGCCACTACTTTGGTCTATTTTCAAAGGCTCAAAATCTTGTCTTTGAGCCTTTGTCCCGTGGCATGTTGATAATCTAAAATATTTCATCCTGGAGAATAGAACCAATTGGTAGCCACTGACCTTTCCTACCTCATCTACCTCCCCTCTTCATCCCTCCTGTGAGTGAATCCTTGTTATCCTTCCAATCTTAAGTGAAATACTAATTCTTAAGCAAATCCTCCTCATACCCCTGACAGTGTGTATGTGTGTATGCTGTCCTGGGGCTTGAACTCAGGGCCTAGTGCTCTTGTTTGGCTCTTTTTGCTCAAGACTGATGCTCTGCCACTTGAACCACACCTTCACTTCTGGCTTTTAGCTGCATAATTAGCGATAAGGGTTTCCTGAACTTTTCTACCTGGGTTTGCTTCAATCTGCAATCCTCCAATCTCGGCCTCCTCGGTAGCTAGGATTACAGGCATGAGACAGTGTCCAGCTTGCATAAAGCTCTATTGACAATGCTCATCTTGTATAATAGTGATCACTTGCTGTGGTGATTCATACATTCTTGCTAGAGTAGGGGCTCTGCAAGGTCAGGGTTATTGACTTCCTTCTTTTTCTCTTTCTCTGTTTCCATATGCCTAGATATACAATTATCATTTCTGGCATGTGGGATATACTTGTTTGTCCTACGTATGTTTTCTTCTTATAAGAGCAGCCAATGCCTCACAGACATTTTGGTGTGTGTTGTGGGATGTGTGTATGTGTTGGGGGTGAAGGGAGGTCAAGGCTGGTGCTGGAGAAACAGAGTGGTACCATGGGAACTGGGTCCTCCGGGAAGAGGACCAACAGTATGAATGGTTTTGCCTATTTTGTACTTCTGGCTGGGGCCACTGGATCCTGTCCTCTGATGTGTGCACCAGGCCTCCAGAGACCCTCTGTTCACATTTCAGATGTAGGCTTAAGAAGGTTCATTACTGTATTCTTCTTCAAGAGTGGGCTTGATTTTAATTCCTTATCTCACTCTTCCAACATTTCTCCCGCAAAGAGGAGACCAAAGCCCATTTCACCTATAGGGAAACTGAGCACCAGAGTGAGCTGGAGATTTCTTTGAGTATTGATGTCATAGGAATTCCTGGAACTTCTTTCTTTTTAACAGATTCCCCTATCACTTTTCCACTGCCTTTGTTACCATTTGAAGCAACTAGCTAAATGTGTGGCAGTGGCAAGCTACCGCTTGACTCCACTGCCACAGGTGTAATGAGTGTGAGGGAGAGCAAGTGGAGAAGGGTGTGTGTTTGGGGAGACATTGAGCCACGCTGTCCATTCACAGAAGAATCCAGTCCCAGTCAATGGCCCCAGGCTCTGGATATCCTTAAAATGAGACCAGGACTGAAGCTTAAGTCAGGGGAGACCCTAGGGGGTCTCTTGCAGAACAAGAGGCATCCTACCTACACAGGTGGGCAGTGGCCGGTCCCAGGTCCTTCGTTCCCCACTCAGACACAGCAGCTCTTCACTGCCCCGGAGGTTGTAGCCAGGATCACAGCTAAAAGACACAGAGCTTCCTGCAAAATGACCTTCATCATGAACCTTGTAGCCAAACTGTGGGGTTCCTGGGTCTTCACATTTGATGAGCTCAAAACCTGGAGGAGAGTGAAGAGAGGAAGAGTGAACAGAAACCAAGCTGGCAGAAGCTAAGCATCCCCTTCATCCCAACCTATATCCTCAGGTTAAGTGACCTGGGCCAGCATTCCTCCTCCAGTTTCTCTAAGCAAATGATTTTCAGACTTAAGATCTTCAATTTATTTTGTTGATATTGTAGCAATTTGCTGGTGGTATCTGTTCCTTCCATTCTGCTTGCTGAGACATTGGGACAGGATTGGGTACTATGGACAAGCCACTTTCAATATATATTCAAAAGCTCCACGTTGCCCTGTGTAACCATACTGTATTGAAAAAGCTGGAGGAAGAAACAGCTTCCAGGATCTCTCTCAATATAGGACTTCACATATATTCCTTCTCATTTGTTATTCACAGGGATCTTACAAGTAGGTATAATTATTGACAGTCTACAACTGAGAGCATTGACCTAGAGAGGTTAAATAAATTGTTCCAAACTCACACTATTTTCAGTTAATAGAAATGCAATTCAAATGTGAATCTACTTAATCCTCTTGCACTGAGCTGCCTCTGCAACAGACCAAAATCTTCTGCCAGCCTGGTACTGGAGGATCCACTGAGCTCTTCTAACCCCACCAGATTCGCTGTGACATAATTTCATATACCCAAATTCATCTGTCCCCTGAACTTCTGAGCACCAGCAAAGGCAACGTCATCTATGTCTCTTGTCTACCATGGATGGACAGCTAGGCAGTTCTAGGACATTTTTGTTACCTCAGAAAGAGCTCATTTGCATTTTCCCCTCATTTTCTCAGCCCATTTGCCTTTTGTCTCTATTCCATTTGCTTGCTCTGGGGGAGTTCCTAAAAACAGAATCACATAGCGTGTGGCCTTTGTGACTGACTCAGTGGAATGTTTGAGGCTCACTTCTATCGAAGCCTGCAATATATTACTTTATGGCCAAATAATAATTGTATACACATACCAAATTCTGTTGATCCATTCCTTAGATTTTAATGGGGTCCACTCTTTGTGTCCAGTGGACAAAGAAACTAATAAAACTATGATAAATTAAACAGGGCTCTAAACACTCATATAGTGAGACCAAAGGAGGATATTCTTAGGAGAGGATCACAAGGGCTCAATAGCTATGTGCATATGATCATATAAAATGCTGCTTATGAAATGAACTAAAAGAAATGGAAACAAGAGGTTTGTTTTTTATTTATTGTAAAGGTGATGAACAGGAGGCTACAGTTACTTAAGTAAGTTAATGAGTACATTTCTTTTTGAACACTGTTCCCCCTCCTCAACTTCCCCCCCATTCTCCCCTCCCCCGCATATTGGTTTTTTTTTTTTTTTGGGTCCGGTCGTGGGGCCTGAACTCTGGGCCTGGGCGCTGTCCCTCAGCTCTTCAGCTCAAGGCTAGCACTCTACCACTTGAGCGACAGCACCACTTCCGGCTTTTTTTCTTTTTGGTTATGTGGTGCTGAGGAATCGAACCCAGGGCCTCATGCATGCAAGGCAAGCGCTTTACCACTGAGCCACCTTCCCAGCCCCTCCCCCACAAGTTGTAAAGTTCATTTCCAACATAGTGTCTAGTGAGTATCATTGCTGCATTAGTTCATCCTTTGTCCTGCTGTTTCTGTGATTCTCTTTCCCTTCCATGGATCAGATAAACTTATATACAAGACCAAGGGTACAGAAAACTAAAATAGAAATAGCTACAAGAAGAGGTTTTTAACTTTACTTTTTGTGGTTCTTTTTTTTCTTTCTCTTTTTCCCCTTTTATCACTGATTTTTTTTATTTCTATGTAAGTTTATCTGACTTGGGAAGGGAAAGGGAAGCACAGAAATGATCGGACAAAGGGTGAACTAATTCAGCAGTGATATTCACTGGATACCATATTGGAAATGAACTGTACAAGGAAAGGGGGTTGGGAGGGGAAAAACTGGTAGAAAATGAGGGAGGGGGTGATACTGTTCAAAAAGAAATTTACTCAATACCCGACTTACATAACTGTAAACCCTCTGTACATCACCTTTACAACAAAAATTTGAAAAAAAAGCCAAGATATATGCACCGCTGCTGGCATAACAAAATGTACTGTTGTGTAGTCAACTGTTTGTACTTGGGAACATTCTCTGCAATGATTACATTCAAGTGAAAAATAAAGCAGTGACAATTACTGTCATTATCAAATATCAGAAAAAAGAGAAACTAATAAATGAAGTAATGAAACAGGATAGGCAATTTTCTTGTTTTAGGGATTTCAGATGTGAACTTACTGGAAAACTGCAGTTCAAAGCCCATACTGGTATTTTCAGCATCCGTGACGAAGTCAAGCCACAGGCTGCTGGATGTGCTGTTCAAAGTCACCCCCAACATCTCAGTGCGACTGAAGACCCCCAGCAGACGGGCGGAATTGTTGCTGCCATCATAGACCTGGAAACAGGGGACCTCAATCCAGTGTCATCAGCAAGGCTGTATTTCAAGTAATTCTCACCCTGCAGCCCACATCCTCAGTTCTTAGCACCAGTGGCAGTTTGTTTTCAGATGCAGGAGAGACAGCCCAGTGAAGCCAAGCTGTGGAAGTTATCTCGGTCCCTCTGGTTGTCAGCTCTGTGCCCAACCCATCTAATGCAAATCTCATCTTTGGGAACTCGTTGCTGTTCTAACCTTTACAGTGGAGGTCTGCTTCTGTTCCCTCCTCTCCCACATGCCATCAGCTTACTCTTTGTCAGCCAGGGAAGGCCCAATGGGTCTGCCTGACTTCCCAAGCCATCTGTTTCTGCAGACAGACAGTCTGAAAGCATTCAACATCTCAGCATTGCTAAACTACACAGTTCTGTCCTTCCAGTGCATGAGACAGTCATTCTCCCATTTGACTTCACCCAACTGTTGGCAGTGGCCTGTCTTGACCACTCTGCTGGATATGATCCCTGGGACCCAGGAAGGATGGAGTTAAAGTGATTGGCATGTCATGGAGATTTTCTTTCCCTACCCCCTGTAATGAAGGACTCTGCCCCTTTCTCCCTTGTAATGAAGGATCCAGCTAGGGCCTGCTGGGCTTGCCAAGGGTGGAATCGCACAGGCATCTGGCCTCCCTGATTCCCATCTGTCCTCTGAACTTCTGAGCACCAGCAAAGGCAACAATCATCAGAATAATGAACTGAACTCCCCAGGTTTTGAGGTTGCTGCTCCTTTGGAGATAATTGTACAAATAACAACAGAAGTTGTGATTGAGTGAGAGACCCCCTGGTGTTTTGGTAAATATCAAAGACGGGATCTATGGGTGGGTGATGAATATTTGTGCATGGCACACAATGTGGTGCCAGCTGCCAGCAAATTGGAACAATATTTCTGTCCTACTATTTATGAAGCAAAGCCTTGAAAAAGGAGCCATCCTTCAAGCTAACAGTGCTGTAGATTACAGAGAGTTGTTTGGGTTTCTAAGAGCCTCCAATCTGTTTCCAGATCCTGTGTGCTATTGTTTTATGTTGACTGACAGAATCCTAGTGTTCCATCTTGAGATCACACCAGTTTGAAGTTTACCAATTATTGTATCCCAATTGTTATCCATCCATATATATATATATATATATGTATATATATATATATATGTATATATATATATATATTACCATAAAGACATACATTGAAATTAATGATTCAAGGTGTTGTCAACAGTTACTATATCATAATAAGAAGGAAAGTCAAAAGTAATAGCCTTCTTGATGGAAGAGAGATCAATGTGAAACAAATGGAACCTGATCAGATCAAGCCTCTAGATACAATTTCCATCCTATAAGAATCATAGAGAACTGAAAGAACATATGAAGTAATACACTGGGTATCCAGAATGTGGAAAATTCCACTGAACAAGTAGACATACTTTCTCAACAAATAAATTACATGGGGAGAAAGATGAAAAAAGATGAAGGGAAAACCTTCTAGTTCACAAGAACATGAGACAAGAAAATCCCATGTGTGGACTTTATTCGGAGCCTGATTTAAATAAATAAACTAATTTTTTTTAAAAAAGTATGGCATTCATGAGATAATGGAAAATTTGAACACGCATTGAGTGTATGATGGTATTAAGAACCTATTTTTATTTTTAATTTTTTTATTGTGAAAATACGGTTAAGAACCTATTTTTAATTAATAAAATATAATAGGTACAGGATCTCCCTCTTCATCCTACTAAGATGTCAGTCTTCCCAGGTTTTGTTCTATGAATTTCTTTAACATAGATTTATTTCATATATTTTTACAAAAACACAATCGAGCTATAGATATAATAGAGCAACTCTCACTCAAGCATAATCAATTTATTTTTCAAGGCATTAAGTGCCATTTTCCACAACAGCATTTAAATATCTGTAACACTGGTAGCTCAACTCTGTAAGCCTATGTACTCAAGAGGCTGAGACCTGAAGATTGTGATTTGAAGCCAGCCTGGACAGGAATGTCTGTGAGACTCATATCTCAAACTAGCCAGCAAAAATCTGGAAGTAAAGGTGTCGCTCAATAGTATAGCACTTAAGTGAAAAAGCCAAGTGAAAATGGGAGGCCCTGAGTTCAAGCCCCGGTATCAGCACTGAAGGAAGGTAGGAAGAAAGGAAGGAAGGAAGGAATAAGTATCTATAAGGAGGTGGATGGGTGGCTCACACCTGTCATCTTAGCTACTTGAGAGGTTAAGAATGAGAGGATCCTGGCTCAAGGCCAGCCTGGGCAGAAAAGTTTGCGAGACCTCTTAACTCATTCAACTACCATCTCAAGATACAGGGTTGGCTGAGATTAGATGGATCAAGGTACCAGGCTAACCCCAGCAGAAAAGGCTGAGCAATTCTGTCTCCATGGAGGGAAGCTGAACAGGGAGGTGTGAGTCTGCAATCCCAGAGACAATAGGAAGTCAAAGATATAGACAGATCCAATCTCAGGCACGTGTCAAGGCAGGAAAGGAGACCCTATCCTAAAAATATCCAATTAAGGACAGGACTTGGAGGTATGGCTCAGCAGTACCGGGCCAGCCTGCCCCCCTCCCCACCCCCACTACTCAAAACCAAAAATAGTTGTAGGAATTTCCATCATAAAATAAACCCAACCCAGAATATAATTATTGACCCATCAACATCCAGACTTTCCTTGGCTCATTAGAGGCACTTGGTAAGTGTATGATAAATAAGAAAATCAGTGTTTTCCTGTAAGTAAATTCCATCTAGAATTTATTTTTGCATTTGGTTGATTGTTTATCCAACCAAATCCTGTTGGTAAATATTTACCCACCACCAAATTTAAACCATCTTAATCCCAGATATAATTCATGCACCATCATATAAACTTGGTTTTATTTGAAAACCTTCTATTCTATTGTCTAATTTGTGAATTCTTGTGCCTGATTTACACTACCTTATTGACTACAGCTTTATATTTAATTACACTATAGTGAAAGACCTCCTGTGTTTTTAGCTTAAGAATATATTTTCTCACATTTACTTTTCTAGATAAAACTCAATAAGTTTTTATGAAATTAAAAAAAAAGCAAAACCTCCCCAAAGAAAATCTCCCTGTCATTCGGATTGAGTTATGTTAAATGTATGGATTGATTTGAGGAAAAACCTGCACCTGTGTGATATTAACTCCTCCAATCCATATTCATGATGTCTGGCTCCATTTAATCAAGCTGTCATTTGTGTCTCTCAGTCACATGCTCTTATTCCTAACAATTTGCACTGGGACTTGGGCCTTCATATATATTTATCTCTTCACAGGCTATGGCTATCAGTGTTATGTCTCCCTGAGAAATCTAAGGAAGTCCAGGCCATCCGGTACATCTAACAAGACAGATCAGCAAGGTGGCTGGTTTCCGAATGAGCATGCTAAAGTGAAGAACTTTCCACATGCAGTAACAAACAACACGGGCGCCATTGCCTTGAGCATTCTTTGCATGCAAGTGTTTTGAGTTTCACTGGGATGAGCAGCTCTCGCTGGAGCTGGCTGCAGGTTCAACTTTGTTAGATATTGTCAGGTTGCTTTCCGAGGAAGGATACTAATTGGCACTCCCAAAAGCAAGGGATGACAGTTTTCATCGTTTTTATCCTCGCCAACACTTGGTAATCTCTGGCATTCTGATTTTTTTTTTTCCAGTTTGATGGAGGCCTAATAGTTCCTCATTCTAATTTGCATTCCCATGATTACCTCTGAGGTTGAGCTGTAGTAATTGCATGTTTATCAACAATTCTCTCTTCTTCTGTGTATTGCTGGCTCCTATTATCTGTTCATCAATGAGCATGACATTTCCCGACATTTATTTTATATTGTCTTCGAAATAAAGTCTTATAATTTTCTCAGTAAAGATTATACACAAGTTGGGGGACATAGTTCTGGATGGTTTACAGTTTTCATTTCTATTATGAATGAGACTTTTTTTTCTCTTCCTGATTACATGCTTTAATTGGTTATAGGAAACACCAGCTGCTTTGCTGAATTGTCTTATTGGTCTTGATAGCTTATTAGTTGAATTGTTTGTATTTTTTTAAATAAATGAGGCAATTTTCCATATTCCTTTCTAATTTTCATGGTTTGTTTTTATCTTTTTCATTTTTGGGAATAACTGTAATGGGCTGGATCATTGGTACAATGCCTAATATTACTAGGGATGGCTGTATTCTGGAATTGACTGGAAATCTTCTGGAAGTTTTGCTGCTACAGTACCATGTAGACTGTAGGTGTTTGGTAAAAACTTTCTATCACATTGGGAAATATGATAGAAATGTGGCTCTATTAATAAGGTTTGGCTTTTTAAAAGATCTTTTTAAAAATCAAGAATGGATATTGAATTTTTTTCACTTGGTATTTTGGGATCATGCATTTATTTCTGCTCACAGAATATTAGATTGGGTCACATGAAATTGCCAATATTTGAAGAGTTATGACCCATGCAGTGTCTAGAAAATAACACTGTGACTCTGTTCTGTTGACACATCCTTATGTTCCTGGCATTGGGCCTGTTTGGTTGCTTTGTCTCTAACCCCTATCTAGATTCAATCTGACACCAGATCCTGGATTTTCAGGTATGTTAGCATAAGACAGGCTTCATAGTTTCTGGCTTCTGTTTTTTTTTTTTAAGTTTTTAAAATGATAAATTGACAAACTATCTTTGCATATATTTATGGGCTATGAAGTGATGTTATGATTTACAAAAACAAAGTGGTGAAAATTAAATCAAACACATTAACATATTCATCACCTGAATCATCACTGCTTTTTTGGAGATATTTGATCCATTTCTGTACTGCTTACCATATTAACCATGTTGTGTAATAGATCCTAAATACAAGAGCTCTTTCCTCCTATCTGACTAGGGCTTTGTACCATACCCATTACCTCCCCAATCTCTCTTCCTCTGGCTTCTGCAAACCACCATTCTACTTTTCAACATACATGATTTGGGAGAAGGATCACGACTTATTCTTTTGTGAAATGGTTTGATTACTGCAGAGATGAACAGTTCCTTGAAATTTTGTTAAAAGTTTACCTGTAAAATAGTATAAGCCTGAGGCTTCTGAGAGATAGATAGTGGAACTGTAATTTTTAACCTAAGACCCAGTTTATTCAGATTTCCTTTCCATTTTTAATTAGTACTTTTTGTGGTGCTGAGGTTTGAAGTCAGGGTCTCTTTGTTTGTCAGGGAGGCACTCCTACCATTCAAGCCATACCACCAGACCTTTCTGCATTGTTTATTTTTTGAGACAGGGTTTTAAACGAAAGTCCAGACTTGTCCTGGTCTATGATCTTCCTATTTGTGCTCTACGCATAGCTGGGATAACAGACATGTACTACCATGCCAGTCCATTGGTTCAGATGGTGTCTTGGGGAACTTTTTTGTTTAGGCTGGCCTCAAACCAAGATCCTTCAATCTCTGCCTCCTGAGCAGCTAAGATTGTAGGCTTGAGCCACTGTGCCTGGAATATGTGAATGTTCTTTTAATTTCCATTGAATTTGAGCTCTCAGATGTCTTAACTTGTTATTTGTACATATTTCTTATTTTAATAATCTCTACTATATTCATGACTATGCTGCATTTTTCATTCCCCATTATTCTACATTTGTTGTTTATTTCTTGATCAGTCCTACCAGCTTTATCTATTATAATAGTTATTTTTCAAAACACCAGTTGTTGTTTTGGTCAATAACAGATATAGCCTCCTCCCCCGGGGTCTCTGGCAGTCTTTCCTGCCTTTATTTTTACAAGTACCTTTCTTTGACTTTCTTTGTGTTGTGTTATATTATTTGAACTACTCAAATCCTTATTTATTTTTAACCTAGGTGATATGTCAGAGACTAACAGAGACATATTAAAATATTCTATGATGACTGTAACTTTATTAAATTCTTTTACATTTCTAGCAGTTCACATTTAATTTATTCATGCTATGTTACTTGGCACATAAAGTTTTATTATGGATTGATTGTGCATTTTATTAATATAAAAGAATTCTCCTTTTCATTTCCTTATGAGATGTGGGAGAAGTTCTGTAATGCATCCTATAATGACCTGATTTCATTTTTCTTGGTTTACCACCTTATCTTCATTGCCTCCATTCCAGGGTTTTAATTGGGTGATCATGTTTCCTGTCTCCATTCATCTTTCCTCAGCTCATATTGCTCTATTTTCATTATTGCCTATTTTTTTGTCCCATAAATATAATATTCTCTCAAATCCTGTTAAGAAAATACAAATTAGTAGCTTTTAAAGAATATTTCTGTTCTTCAGGGGGACAATTAGCTCTGATTACTCAGATATGCCTTCTTTTGATTTACATACATATCTGGTTAATTTCCTTGTAGGCACAGCATCAAGAAGGGAGAAGGCAAATGGAGAATGTAAACACTCCCTAATCTCTACGGAGAACAAGCAGGAACATTCTGAAGGGGGTGGTGGTAGAGATCATAGTATATTTTCTTTAATGAGCCTGGCCACTTGTGATAGTCATCAGTCATGTCATTACCTTGCTTTCTCTGAATGTCAACAAAAGCCAGATGACCTGGATATCATGGTTCTGTGTGCTCCTTCAAGTTCAGTATGTGTTCTGAGGAGTGATAAGGATTGGGATCTTGTCCCTACCAATGATCCAAGTTTTGTTCTTGGCTCTATGTTCCGCTGCTTACAGCTGGGTGGGTTTACAAGGAGGTTTTCCTTAATGTTTCTGGCACTTAATCCACAGACAAGACTTCACCTCTGTGAATTGTGGTTTGATTAGGCTCTTCTCAATTCCAGTTCTTTCTTGAACATTTCATTTGGCAGAAATTCCTTTCAGTTGTATGTGAAAGACAGACACTCTCATAATTTCTAAGACTGAGGCCATAATCCTCTGCTTTTATGCTCTTAGAGTCATTCTCATGAGAACCTGTGGAGGACATAGTTCTATGTAGGCATTCCATTTGCCATCCTGAGCTGGGAATTGCCTTTCTATACTTTTGCATTTTAAGGCTCTTCCTGTCTTGCTTATGTCAGTAGCAGCAAGGTCCCCTGGCAGGGACTAAAATAAAAAGAAATCAGATGGTGATGGGAGACAATGTGTATGTGATTCTGTGTGTGTGTGTGTGTGTGTGTGTGTGTGTGTGTGTGTGTGTGTTTGTGTTTATGTGTGTAACAAGTTTTAGGAAATCTGCAGTTACCAGGATAAGGAACAGATCAGAGGTCACACATGCAAGAGAACAGGGATTTCCTAGGTCAGAAATAAAGACCATAGAGAGCTTAGACAATCACACATACACAAAAGCAATTTTTTTTGTCGGTAATGGGGCTTGAACTCTTGGCCTGGTGCCTGTTCTTGCACTCTTCAGCTCAAGGTAAGCACTCTACCGCTTGAGCCACAGTGCCACTTCTGGTTTTCTAGTGGTTTGTTGGAGATAAGAGTCTCACAGACTTTCCTGCCCGGGCTGGCTTTGAACTGTGATTCTCAGATCTGAGTCTCCTGAGTAGCTAGGATTACAGGCATAAGCCACCAGCACCCAGCAATTTAAGATAGATATAAGCAATTTAAGCAATTTAAAAGCAATTTAAGATAGATATAAGCTCAAGATCTTAACAATTCTCTCTCTATTACCCTCACCACCATCTAATTCCTACCATTTCTTTCCTTTATATCAATCTTCTTTTTTCTTTTGCTGATACTAAGTTTGAGCTCAGGGTCTCACACTTTTGAGACAGGGTCTGACATCCTGCCTTCACACAAATCTGGACCATGATCCATCTATTTTAGACTTCCCATTGTAGTTAGGATGACAGTTGTTCACCACCATGCCTAGCTTCATTCATTGAGCAAGAGTCTGATAGATTTTTATGCCTGAATTGGCCTAGAAAACACAATCCTTCTGATCTCAGCTTACCATGTAGCTAAGATGACAGGTGTATGCTTCTATATCCATCTATTGGTCAAGAAGGGCTCTTATATGTATGGCTGGGTTGGCTTCAAACAGTGCCTTCCCAATCTCAGTCTCCCAAATAGCTAAGATTACAGACATGAGGCACTAATACAGCACATGGCCCTAATACAGATCTGAACACACTTTCTTGTGCTCCACTGTCACCCACAGAGTACCATCATGATATACTGACATTGCTGTATTCTCAAAGAAGGAATGAATGCATACAGATGAAACATGCTGATATTAAGTATATACAGAAACAGATCCTCTAGACCCGATACACATACAAATTCAACATATGAAAATGTGCATATGAAAGTATCTACAACTGGGTGTCAGTGGCTCACACCTGTAATCCTAACTACTCAGGAGGCTGAAATCTGAGGATCCCAGATCCAAAAATTCCAAGTCAGTCTGGGCAGCAAAGTCTGTGAGACTCTTGTCTCCAACAAACTACTCAGAAAAAGCTGGAAGTGGTGCTGCGGCTTAAGTGGTAGAGTGTTAGTCTTGAGCACAAAGAGGCTCAGCAACAGTGCCTAGGCCCTGAGTTCAAGCCCCAGGACTGGCAAAAGAAGTATCTACCTCCACAATGTACATATATAAATACATCTACAAACACACAGGGGCACACACACACACACACACACACACACACACACACACACACACACACACACACACACACATGCAGGCACATCTATCCTATGAGATGTTCATTGTCCAAGTTGAAGGTCACAGTTCATAATGTGAAGCCTGATCTACCAGCTACTTTAATTTCGTTTGACACGACTTTTGATTATGCAGTAAACTTGTAGAGCAGACAGCTCCCAAGCAAACTCCAACACTACATTCTTAGACCCTGAGCCCCCAAATCAAATTTGGTTTTCAAATTGGTGACTGAGGACACCATCTTGAGAGGAAGGAAGGAGAAAGGTTGGATCATTTGCCTGGGGATAATGACAGAGTAGGTATACCTTTGCACATGGAAACATACATGTTCTATGCAATCTATCAACTTTACCTTGAGGACATCTCCATCAGAGAGTTCAAAAGCCTTGGCTCTGAGCTGAATCCCCTTCCCTGGCTGGGTCTGGATGGAGTAGATGCATTCATGATTGTTATTGTAGTTCACAGGAAAGTTGGGGGACAGCAGAGTACCCTGGGTGCCCGTGACTGAATTCCCACACTCAGCTGGAAAGAGAATCAAGATAACCATAGATTAACCCACCTCAGTGGTGTGAAGGAAACATCTCATAGCTCTGGAGAACCTCCAAGTTTGTTTGCCTGCCTACTTGTACATCTGCCTGTTGGTCTCCAGGACTGCCTATTAGCCTTGTAAAACATATACTTCTGCCCAGTTTTGCCATCTCTCTCCCTCCTGATCTCTCTCTCTGCTGTATAAACAGCAACTAACCACTAGACATCACTATCTTTCACTGTATTAGAAAGAAGTTGCTCCCCACATCCGTTTGTATGATATTATAGTATCAGAAATGGCCAAGAAGGAGGCAGCCAAGCAAGGAGGGAGGAAGCCTTTCAGTATCCAAAGATGGAAACTAGCAGGGGACAAGATTGAATAATAATTGCTAACTCTTCTTTACAAAGCACCAAGATAGATCTTCTGCAAGAAACCTCAGCTATGCTCACATAATCCCATGAGGCAGACACAATTATCACCCCTAGTTTAAACAGAGGCACTGTATTTAAACCATTTACATGAAGTCTCTCAGTTCCCTAAAAGGAAAGGCCGAGAACATCACTTCCTTGGGCCTGAAGTTTAGGGCCCTTAGGCACCGAGAAAGTTTTCACACCATCTCATCAAAACCCTGTTGTACTGATCAACTAGTGAAATCCCACCCTTTCCGGAAATCTGTTTCTCTCCTGGATTAGTCATTCATTTCCATTGTCTTCTCGCTGTTATTTATAACACGTATGCCACGTTCCTTGATTTGTTAGGTCTCCACCTCCTCAGCTCTACTGGGATCCTTTGGGGCTTGTCACATCTCTGTCACACACACACACACACACACACACACACACACACACACACACACACACACACACACACACACACACACACACACACACACACACACACACACACACACACACACACACACACAGCAGCTGGTTGAGACAGGGTCAGTAACAGTACATGCCCAGAGACCTTACAGTGGATTCCCTGAAGTCCTTAGCTGTGAAGTCCCTCTCAGACCAGGGCACCTGCCACATTTTTCCTTGACTGTCTGTTACCTTCCTGTCTTCCCTCACCCAAACTGTGAGCTACTTGAGGACTCGGGCCATGCTTGACATATCTATGAATTTCCAAGGCTTAGCCAAGATCATCTGTAAAATAAACATTTGCCAAATGAATGAATGGATGAATATGGCATACACTGGCCTCAGAAGATGCACAGTCCTAAAAATAATTAGGTTCCAGAAGGATGTAAACACAAGGCCAGATGGCAGACTCATTATTTGTCTGGACATATGGGGAGTTTGGAACATGTTTGGAATCACTGCAGTGGATGGAAGCCAGTCAGATTTCTCCAAATCACCTACAGTGTCCTTATTCTAGGCACAGTCCTTGGCTGGAAGGGCCCTGAGGTCCAGACCACTGCTTCCAACCTTAGTTGCTCTAAGCTGGTAGCCTACCGGCAGCAGAGTTGCACTCCCCACAGACATTATCATACACTTGTATGTTCTCTTGTCCCCAAGGTTGCTCTTAGTCCTTTGAAGATAGTGACCACACACTGTTTTTTGTCCTCCAATACTTGGGTTTGAACTCAGAGCCTCACACTTGCTAAGTGGATGCCCTAGCACTTAAGCAATTTTTACAGTCCCTTTTTGCAGTGGTTATTTTCAGGCCGGGATTATGTTTTTTACGTTTTGGCTTTCTTAGACTGTGATCCTCCTGTTAGTGCTTCCCTTTGCCTCTGGAATACAGGGGTGAATCATTGCTTCCGGCCATTGTATTTCCCCTTTAGTTTGGAATGACAGGCACATGCCATTATGTTCAGCCAATGATTGAGACTGACCCTCACCAACTTTTATGCCAGGGGTGGCCTTGAACCATCATCCTTGGATTGCCACTTCCCAAGCCTCTAGGATATAGTGGGATGGCTTGAGCCATCACACTGGGCTGAGTCCCTTGCTTGGTAGGCTTGATGGCCTTGGTAGGCTCCCTAGCCTTGAGTGCTTTCAATAAAACTGATTTGTAAAGCAAACCATCTACTTTGATGAATACACTGAGCTGGGGCAGAAAACTGAAGGGCCAGTGGTAGATGGCATCCTGGGGGCAGTGGCTGTCGACCTCAGCAGCTTTGTTTCTGAAGTATGTGCATTTGCTGGGAGCCCTCACTGAAGGTGGGGGCTCACAGGGCCTGCTGACGATGGTATAATACCACATGAGCAGCTCTGAAGCACTGCCCTTCTGTCTCTGGGTCAAGACCTCTCCTCCATCTAGGCAGATGGCACACTGTGACAAGCACAGACCCTGGAGGCAGACAGACAAGTTACATCAACTCTGGACCTCGGTCTCCTCATCTGCTTCTAGATAGTCAGTCCCTCACAGGACTGGGGAGAGTGAAGGCCTGCAATTTCATGTGAGATGTAGGTGATAAATGGTGGAGGGGTTAGCATATAGTAGGCCCTCAACCACTGTTATTCCTCTTCTCTCCTCTCAACCTATCACAGGCGAATCCTTAGAGTTTACTTATTTCCACTGGGAACCCTAGCTGCCTGTGCTCCACAACTGGCGGAAAGTCAGGCAGCACATGGTAAGAGTGCCTCAGCTGCCTGGGGCTCATTTCCCTGTTTTTTTTACCTTCTGCCTTCATGAAAGTTGCCTTCCTTTAAACATGAGGATCTAGCCTATTTTTGGACAGGTTTCCTGGGCCTGGCTTCCTGCATAGTCACTCTGTGGGCTCTCTCTGCCCTCCCATCTTGCCTGCGTGATCAATATCTTTTCGGAGGAAGGAACCAAGGCTGATAGCTTCACAGTTGGCCAGTCCCTGACCAATGAGCAAGGTCCTGACTTCCTGACAGGGTCTTGGTACTAGGCAGCAGGGAAGGTGGAGCAGGTGGAGGGCCATGTCGTTTTGCTTCTGGGAGAGTTTCCAAAGTAACAGGGGAGGTGAGCAGATGCACTGAGAAGCCAAACACAGGCGTAAATGGAAACAAATAAATGTTCCTGAGAAACAAGCAGTCATATGCACCGGCAAGTACTGCTGCTGATTCAACCATCTGCGACTTCTGTCACCCCTGTCAGAGGAGGTCGCATCGAGGGCAGGAGCTGTATCTTATCTGTCAGTCTGCGGCTCCCAAGGCACAGGGTTAGGTCTTCTCTATCACTCTGGAGCTCCCCAGGATGGGACTGTGGCTCTTGCTATAGACTGGGGGCCTCAGGGTAAGAACTATCTCCCTCACATCAAAATCAGAGGGTCCTTGAGGTCAGAGCTACTACCCTCTCCCCCTCCCTATCTGTGGTCACACCATGCTTTGGAGGCCAGGGCTGCGAGTGTTCTGGTAGTGCTGGGTAGCCAAATCATCCAATTGACACCTACTGGGTGGGCGGGCTCTGGCCGGGAGCACCCCAAGTGGGCATTCCTGCACTCGCTCTAGCATGAGCTTCTGTAGCAGGGCTGGCAGTAATTAGAGGTGATTATAATTACTGTGCGTTATTAATAACATGTGAAACAGAAGACAAATGTAATAATGAAAATATTGTGAGGTGTCATGAACAAACAGTAATTGGAATAATAAGCGAAAGGATGGTTTGTGTAATGAGATCAATGAAGCAGGAGCACTGGTGTGTGTGCATGCATCTATGGGCTTGGAGAACCCATTCAAGAAAAATTTCCCCTGAACCATCTCACCCAATGGTGTCTTCCCTGAGGAGCAGCTGGCTATTTACCTAGGGTCAGTTCCATGTGTCTGAGTGTGCCAACTCAGATCTGGTAATAGCTGCCTGGGGGTAGGTATAAGAGAATGAATAAACTTTGGGGTTATTGGATTGATTTTTAAAAATGGAATTCTGAGAAGAGCATGGGAGTGCATGCCAGTAATCCTAGCTAAGTGGAAGGCAGAGATGGGAGGATCACAATTCCAGGACAGTCTAGCAAGTGTCAGTGAGACAAAAAACATAAGCTGAGTACCAGGATGCATGTCCATAAGCCCAGCTATAAGGGAAGTGGAGATAGCAGGATTGTAGCCTGAGGCTGGTGTCCAGGGAAAACCATGAGTTCTTATCTGAAAAATAACTAGAGGAAAAAGATCTGGGGATGTAGTTCAAGTGGTAGAACACTTTCAAGTATAAAGTTTTGGAGTTCAAACTCCAGTACTACCCTCAAAATTAGAAAAATGGAATTCTATGCCTCTTGATCTTAGTATTTCTTTTCTATGATTGTGTAATAAAATGTTACCAATGAAATAATGACAGTTATTCATAAATAAATGACAAAAAAGTTATTAGACAAATGATAACTATTTGGTGTTCACTGGCTTATGGTTACATAAGTCATTTCATCTAGAATAAGACCTTTGAGTTAGACATTACTGTCTTCACTTTTTAAACAGAAAGCTGAGAGATTTGGTGACCCTAATGATCAGTACTGGGCAGTGGAGAAACTTGCCCTTTGACCAATGTTGCTGTTCAGTGGGCTCAGCCCACCGTGACAGCCTGGTTTAGTGGTTCTCTGCAGAGACTAGGGTTCCACAGAGCTGTCCCAGGTAAGGCTGGTTTCAGGGATGGTTCCCAGGCAAACTTCCACTGAGTGACCTCTCTGGGCCCCATGGGCTTTGAGATGAAGATCCCTGTCACAGTCACTGCAGGGTTGCTTTGATCTGTGTTATGTATCTGATGGGTTTTATGTCATATCTTACATTCAATGAACACTAAGTACATTGCTAATTCAGGCACTCTTTCATCCATCCCTGCAAGGAGACCCATAGCTTTACAAATTAGGAACAGCTAGCAATTGTCTTTGTTCCCCGGGATACCACCCTATTTCCCCCATACCGCCATCCCCAGGCCCTGAGCTCTGATCGGCCTTCTGTGGGACTCTGCCAAGGATGAAGGCAGGGCTGCCAAGCCCTAACCTACCACCTCCTTCCTTGTTGCAGCCCCTCCTGCTTTCCATCCACCTGTTTCACACCTGCCTTGAAGTCTTTCTTCAGAGACCAAGCAGCCTCACTGCTGGGGCCTTGCCCCTCTGCTCCTTCTTGTTTAGTCCTCCACATATCACAGCTAAAATGCAACTCATCAGAGACGCCTTTCTTGTCCATCCCTTGAAAAGTGTGATCTCATCTCCAGCACATTTTTGAGGTCCTGGAGTTTGAACTCAGGGTCTCTAGCCTGTTAGGTAAGTTCTCTAACACTTGAGACACCACCCTAGGCCTGTGTTGCTTTATTAGTTTTCAGATAGGGTCTTATGTTTTTGCCTAGGGCCAGCCTTGGACCATAATCATCCTACCTGTGCCTCCTAAGTAGCTAGCATGACAGGCATGCCTCACTACACCTGGCTTCCTGATTGAGATGTCAGTCTTAGGTGTTGCCCAGGTTGGTTTCTGCTGAGATCCTCCTGATCACTGACTTCCAAGGACTGGGTATAATCTCTAGCATATTCTAAGCTGACTTGATTTTTTTTCTCTGTACAACACTGAAGGACACAGTACTTATCTGTGTTTGTGGCTTCTGTCTCCCCTCAGTAGAAGGAGAATGTGCACTCCAAATGGAGAGCCCTTCTTGTTTTGTTCACTATTTTTTGGGGAGGTGGGTAACTATTTTTTTTGTCTTTTCTTTTTTTGGTACTGGGGATCGACCCCATGATGTTGCATTTGCTAGGCAAGTGCTTACTTCTGAGCTACATCCCAGCCTTGTTTAGTTTACTTTTGATCTACAGGCCCAAGATGCCTGTAATGTAGTAGCTTGTGTGATGGGTGCTTCATGAATGAGCCTGACTCCTGTCTCTCTTGCTTCTCAACTGGCTGGATGGTCTCCTTAGGGATTCTCCAAACAAACACTCCCATCAGAGTCGTAAGGCCCCAGTTAGCTCTATGAAACTGGACCTCCTTGCAGTAGGTCCAATTGATAGCCCAGCCAAATTTCTATGCACCTTAAGGCATGGGCCTTCAAGTAAAGGGAAGAGGAGGTGCAAGTATCCAGGTCAATTTTGTTTCAGAGCCCATGGGAAGCTTCTTTTCAAAGACCAGGCCTGGCTACAGGACAGCCTCATCCCTTCCTATCCTGGAGAAGAAGTCAGGTTCCTGTCTAATGTCCCACCACAGGTGAGCGCAGACGATGCCTGCTCTCAAACCCCAACCCCTCTCTGCCTCTTGGCCATGTGTAGTCCACCACCTTGCACCACTGGACTAAATTTTGGCCCACCCCATTAAGTGAAGCAAAATGAAAGCACGTGACCACCTACCAACACACCTTGGCAGAGGCGAGCTCCACAGGCGCCGTCTGCCCCCCAGGCACGTGATGCGGGCGGTGCCCTCCAGACGGTACCCGGGGAAGCAGGAGAAGGTCAAGGTGTCACCCACACCAAACTGTAAGCCCTTCCGGATGCTGTATGCCGGGACCTCGGGCTCCTCACAGGGCTCCAAGTCGTACTCTGCAGAGATAGTGGAATTGTAGGGTTCAGGGACACCCGGAGGGGTGGGGTTCAGGGATATCTTGGGGAGCTAGAGAGAGAAGGTGAGAAGGCACAGGCCAAATGTCAAAGGGAAACAGGGTCAGAGGCAAGGCCAGACAGGGGTACAGACAATGCATGGCACATTGGCGCAGGAAGGGCCAGATAGGCTGTTTGTACCCTCGGTGTTTTGAGCACTGGCCTGGGCAGAATATCTGTAAGGGAGACCCCCAGGGAGGATTTCTGATGTTTCACAGGCCTCAGCAACTTTTCTTCCCTGTCTCTGTATCTCCATTTGAGCCCCAAGCTTTGGGATAGGCAGAATCTCCCACTCTTTGGCTCAGTACAATCAGCTGGTTCCAGAAAGCCAGAGTCCATGACTGGCCTTGGGCCTTGCGCAGCTCACACTGGGAAAACAACTCCAAATGGACCCTGTGAAGTGGCACTGGCTTTGAGGCAGATGCTGAGCGTGGTGGGGTGGCATTTGTGGACCAGGGACCTGCCTGGTGCCTTCAATGACAGTGTGGAAGAGGGCATCTCCCTTCTGGATACAGCACCCAGGACTCTAAGTGGTTAGGAGAGTCTTTTTCACATAGTCAAGGTTTCCTGTCTCCCTGTGTCTCAATGGCTAGGCCTTTCCAAGACACTTGGCAGGTGGCTTCTAGCATGGAGGGCCCGTGGAGACTTATCTGGGCCATGTTCCAGTGCCTAGAGGCCAGATCTCTCTTCTCCATCCTAAAAAGATTTATTGATATCCCTTTCCTGCCAATGGCCAGGTGGTGGGAGGCCTGGGGACAACTTAGGACAAGAGCGGCTGAGGGCTCAGTATTAGAGGATCAAGAACCCACTTTCTTTTCAGGATTCCTAAACACCAAGATAACTACCTATTATTATGAAATTAATATTGATGATGAAGACCCAAAATGAGGCTAAAACTATCTGATCTGTTAATTTTCTTTCTTTGGTAATTGCTGAGGTTGTAAATTAGGAGAATTTGGAGTAACTAGGGCAGGAAGGGTTTTTTGTGAAGTCCTTCCTCTAGTTCAGCCAGCTCTGTGGGTGGTGTTCAGAACAATCCTGGATCAGAGGAGTTTCCCCCAGTGAACCTGCTAACTCTTTCCAAGATCATTATAAGTGAGTTCATCCTTGTGTCTAAGCCAAGTACCTCTTTTGGCAGCACTGAGAATATTCTCAAGCTTGGAGTGGTCAATAAACATCTGCTAGGAAGACCAGAGACTGGCAACAGAGTGAGAGGGAGAGATAGAATGGCTCTACAACCCCTTCTCTCCAGGGAACCTTCGTGCTCCTTACCTGAGAAGGTGATGTTGAATCCTTCGTATGACATAGAGAAATCAGAAACAAAGCGGACCTGGGCGGTGAAGTTGCCATAGAGCCCAGCACTGATGGGAGCTGGTAGCCTTGAGCCAGTCAACTGCCGCAGGGGCTGGGTAAAGCTGCCATTCTCAGTGATGAGGAGGTAGTCGTGGCCACTCTCCAAGTGGAAGGTATGGAAAGTAAAGAACACACCTGCCAAGAGATCAGAGGGTCTGGTTGGGGGTAGGGAGATGGTTGGAGCAGCCCAGCTGTAAACCAGAGTCTGCACAAATATGTCAGGTTGGTGCTGGTAAAAGGTCCAGTCCGTGACGGGCACTTCCTGTGGGCATTAGCATTGAAAGGTAGGATTTACAGCTAGGTCTGTGACACTGTTTCGCATCCATTCATTAGTTCATCCAGGTCAGAAGTGTGTTTATTCCCCTCCCTGGTACACTGGGTGGATGGTGGGTGGTCAGACACAGTAGCAGGTTGGGGATACAAGTTGATTAAATACCAACTTTACACTCTGTTCTTCTAGCATGCAAATACAGCTCTTCCCAAGGAGTAAATATTTGGCTGTGATTCTAAGGAGAAGCAAACAACTGAGATGAAACCCCTGGGTTTCCCAGCTGTGCTGACTGCTTTGGGCTTTTTGGTCCATTGTGAGAAAATGAAGACATTGTCACAGAAACAGAGAAGCCCCATGACGGGGTATGAATCTAGCTTTGGTGTGATGAATGCACACCCTGGAGTGAACCGTGCTGAATCATGGGGTGACATCAATCCCTCATGGAACAGGAAAGCTAGGAATCAAGCACCTGTTTAGCAGCCCAAGCGTCATAGCTGAAGCTGCGCGGTATTCCTGTGCTCTCCTGTCTCTGGCTGTCATGTGTGGATCACAGGGTCACCTTATAGGTGGCACTTGGTGAGACATCTGGGACAACACATGCAACATACCCAGGCACTTCTGGCACACAGCAGGCCTCTACCAATCAGTGTTCTCTGCCCAGATCACCTGATCCCAAGATAGCCTGTGGACTAAGGGACACCAGACCTGGAGTCTCCGCCAGAATATATTCTCTGGATGCTTGGAGTGCTTATTTCCTGATATGTGATAAGCTGGGAAATTCTGAATTTCATCAAGCTTGGTTTCCCCAGCTGGGTATCTGCCTCTTTGGGAGCAACCTACTCAGTAGCCTAAAGAAGGGTCTGGGTTCATTTCAACTTAATTCATGTCACACCCATACTTGTGGGATTCCTTGTGAACCAGGCAGAGGGGTAAGGTGCTGTGGGAACTACGTGACACAAAAGACTTGTGTATCAAAGACTCCAAATCTTCTGGGGAGGTGGATGAAGAAGCAGGTTCTATCCATTGGAGTGAAGTCTAGAGCTAGGAAGCAAAGGATGCTGTGGGAGCCTACAGGAGTGGACCCAGCCTAGGGATAGGAGAGGAGGTTCAGGAAAGGAAGAACAAAGAGCTAGCCAAACAAGGGGACTTGGAGTCACCACTACTCTGCTGGCTTGGAGAGAAGAGTTATAGAGACAATTTATACCTTGTGCCAACCCTGAGAGGAAAGAAAGCTTGGCACAGAGGTGTATGTAGCTAGAATTCTATTTAGAAGGCTTAGCATGAGGGTGAGAAACATAAGCTAGTGCTGTAGGCTTCACAGCTAGTTTATACTTAAAGGTTGTAGGCTAAGAGTTCAGGGAAACATTTGCATGCCTCTAAGAAAGAAGTGACTTGTCATTCACCCATGACCTCTGGTCCATTCTGTGCCCAGTTACTTTCCATCCTAGCCAATTCCTGTGCATCCCTGAAGACAAGTTTATACTTGAACTCCAGGGTGCCCATCTAACTCCTCAGAACTGGGCTCCATTTTCTAGAGGCCTCTGTCTGCTTTATCATACACAAACCCTACTACATGGAGATCAGGATTTAGGCTGTCTGTCTCCACCACTGAGCTCTGGGCTTCCAAGCACAGGTATTACATAAGATTTGTTAAGTACCTGATGATTTGCACTGACTTCTAAACTAAGGCAAATGCCCCCTATAATCACAGGTGATGAGACACAAAAAATCATGACCAGAGGTTGTTGCTGTAGTAACCAAGAAGGCTTCACAGCTGCCTGAAGGCTCCTGTCTTTGCCTGGCCCCAAGCTCCAGGCCATTGGGCCTTATATTATTTATGGTTTCCCTTATTTGCAATAACTAGTATATGTCTGAGACAATAATATGTTTTATAGATCATATAGATTGCTCAAAAGATTTTTAAGGACAAAAGAGATAACTATGAGATAACTACTAATACTATTTTAGGGTGGGTCTTTTTAGGAGCTATTGGCTGCTTCTATGTAAATGCCCTTGTTCATATTTCACACACAGAATGCATTTATTCTTTGGGAAAACGTTGTTTGTTAACAATTTAATGCAACCAACTCTGTGGGTGTGCAAATATTCTTTCCTCCTGATCCCTTTTAGTAGCTGCCTAGTATTTCATTCTCTAACTGGACCATATGTTTATTTGACATTTCCTTATGGATGGATAGTCGACAAGTTCCTAGTTTTCTAGTCTGATAAATAAATAGCTTAGGTTTGCCTGCGTAGCCGCATCTTGATGTATTGTTTGTTTACTCTCTTCAGGAAAATTCTAGTAAGGGGAATTGTTGACTTTCAAGGCACATGTCCTCAGAAGGCTTCTGATCCCTATCCTCAAACCACCTCTAGAAAACCACTTCCCACCAGGTCAGCAGTGACCATTCTCTCCCTGCTGGTGTTGTGATTTTCTTTGAGAATATAAAAAAGGGAAATGGTATTTCATTACCGGCTGAAATTGCCTTTCTTTAATTATTGGTGGGGTTGATGTTTTTTCAATTTGAATTGCAATTATGAAGTGTTAGTTTACAGCTCTGCTCATATGGCAGGCCACTGGGCCAAGCATGTTTCTCTCAGAGATATTTTAAGAGCTTTTTACACATCAGGCTGGTAATCTTTAGTCAATTACACATATTGCAAATATTCTGGGGTCTATTTACTATTTGACTTTGCACGTTTATGGATTTGTTATAAAGTCTTTTCAAGCTTTATGTTAAATGGTAGCTAGTAGCCTTTACCATGTAGATCTGCCCTGGGAGTTACTTTTAAAAGCATATCCTCAGCAGAAATTAGAGATCCATATGTTTCTAGGGATTTCTGTGGTGAAATGTATAGGGGTATGGATTGGGTTTTAAGCTGCTTTCATATGGTGAAACCACCATTTATGAAAGAATCTTTCATCCCTTCAATGACTCTGAAATGATGCTTTAATCACATACTGAACTCTGTCTTCCTCTCACCTGTGCACAGTTAGGTGAGAACACACATGCATACACATAAATGCATCGATTTCTGGACCTTTCTTGCACTCCCCTCTCCCCACTCCTGCAGGTGTCTACAGTATTCAAGCTACACTATTCATGTCATTTAGTCCATTAACAACATTTAAATATCTGTGGGGTTATTCTATCTTAATATTTTCCTTGGGCCCTTTTGAATATTATTTCTTCTAAATCAGTGGTTCTTCATTAAAGGCATGCGTCAAAATTACTGATGAAGTGCTCTCACACACAGAGGCCTGGTTTCCATCCCCAACATAGCAGATCACAACCTCTGGTGTAAGAGGGAAGCACTACGACTCTAGTAGAACTTTGGAAGAAGCTCCCGAGAGCTGTCTGTGTCTGCTTGGTTACTACTTATCTCCAGCCCCAGTGTCTTCCATGTGGAGATATTTAATAAACATTGAGAATTAAATGTTGGCCGAAAGTGTTTATTAACTAATGCTCATGTGAGGGAAACTGAGGCAATGGGGCAGGCTATTGAGGAATATGCCTGTACATAACCTCAGGAAGAGTAGAGTTATATACAACCTGAAGGGTAGGCTAGTGTGGTGGCACATGCCTTTAATCCTGGAGCCAGGAGGCTGAGGGATCATAAGTTCAAGGCCAGCCTAGGCTACAGTGCGACCTCAAAAAATAAGTGGGCATGAGGAAGAGGGAGCAGAAGTGTGCTATGTTCCTCCAGGGAATGGCACGGGACATCTACCTAATAGACTATGATGAGGAAAGAGACCTCATTTATGGGATGGGTTGGTCATGTTCCCACTGGTGTTTAGACTGAGGGTATGCTGCCATCTTGTAGGAGGTGACTTAGATGGGATTTGATGGTTGGTAGCCAATTAAGATCTCTATTGGCAGGGCAGTTTATATTCTGTATAACATTTATCAAATGATTTGCATGATTCAAAACAATGAGATAATTCTGGAAATTTTCATGTTGATGAGAAAAATTCAGACTCAACAAGCTGCTATATAGGGAAATGTCAGTTGAGTTCACCTTGATCTGGGGACTTGGGGTTACTTTCCAATATCTGCCATTGATGTAAACACTCACCCTTTCCATGAGATGTTTCAATAATCCAGGTGCAGTTCAAGTTGTTGGGGTAGAAGTCAGGGAACCCTGGTGACAAGATGGTACCAGTGGAGCCTTGAATGAAACCACCACACAGTGCTACAGGAGGAGTGAAAAGAACAGTGAGAGACCTGAGTGGCCCAGGGAGCCTCCCCTAGGATCCTCTCCAAAGCCCATTCTCACTGAAGGCCTGAGAAGGAACTGGAGTCCTTTCCAGTGCCTGGTTTTCCATAGTAGGAAAGACATGTGTTCCTTCCGTGCCCCCGGTGGCATGCCTCACCTTCGCAGCTGGGCAGGGCCCGGCTCCACTGGAAGTTGGGCTCACATTCCAGGGGCTCTGAGTCACTTAATGTATAGCCTGAATCACAGCTGAATGTCACCAGAGCACCCACATAGAAGTCATTCCCATGACGTTGCCCGTTGACGGGGATCCCTGGATCCAGGCAGTGGTCTGATTGCAGTGTTATAGCTGGAAAAGAGAGGCCACATCTAGAATCAACAATATGTGCTGTTAAAAACAAAGAGATGGAGAAAAGGGCCTGGATTTACAAAGGTTGAAGTCACTAGTTACTGACTCATGAAATGTGGCTGTTGGTATTTGCAGAGAGGTTATTTGAATACCTATCTCTTAAACAAGCTGGCTAGACCATTTGTCCATTGGTCCATTCATTCGATAAACACGTGTTGATTGTCCACTGTAGCTAAGGCCCTGGGCTAAGGTTTAGGAATACAAACGAGTAAGAAAGCAACCCTATCCTCATGGTATGTTCAATCTGAACTTTCCATTTCAACCTGCAAAGAACTCAAGTGACACTGGATCTTTAAATGGAGGCAATGGATATGAAATGATGAGGAGAGGGTTTACAGCCAGCCAAATTCTCTGTCTCTAAGTGCCCAGCCACCTGCGTACAGCAGTGTGCATACGGGACCTGGTATAAAGATCATGAACAACTGTTATCTCCCATAACCCATGAGGGATGTTGAAAGCCAGGGGTGCCTTCCAAAGGGCATAGTCTAAGAACATCCTGGAAGGACTTGAGTAGGTACCTGTGGAGGAACATAATCCCAGGTTCTCACCCACTGGACCTCATCTACCTCCTCACAACTTTCCCACCCAGACTCACTTTCATAGCGGAGCTGGAAGCCAATGTCCGAATGACTCTTGTCTGTAGAGAAGAGGAGGTAGAGGTAGTTGCTGGTGCTGATGAGGAACTGGGGGACCTGGGTCCCGTGGTAAACCCCAATCAAGGGTGCTGAGTACGTCCGTCCATCTCGTACTTCCAGGGTGTCATAGTTAACCTCAGTTTTAAATCTGTCAAATTATGTAAAATGAAGACTTCTTAAGAAATCCAAGGCTTATTGATTTACTAATGATAAAAGACCGGCCCTGTCTGACCCAGAGCTTTAGACAACCAGATTTTGGCAGGGTGGGATCTTTTAATATAATTTGCACACATTTTCTCATGTTATGGAAGGACCTTCTCTACTAAGCTCTTCCTCCTTCCATTGCAAACTTCCCAACCAGTCCCATAGCCTAGGCTGTGAAGATCTAGAGGCTCAATGATCTAGAGGTCAAATGACTAGCCTCCTGGTGATCAGAATGTGCTAGGCCCAAGATCAACACACTGAAGCTCCAGGGACAAATCTGGCATATGGCCTGGAGAGCTAAGAATGGCTTTTATATTTTTGTGAAGGGCCAAAGAAAAATAGCAATAAACAATAGACAGCAGAGATTCACAAAAAAGAAACTTTCCCACAAACTCTAGAATATCTAATGCTTGGGCCTTCACAGAAAAGTTTCCTGACAGCTCTGCTAGGCCATGATTGCTTTAGGTGGAGAAAGTTCATGTCTACATTTGTGTAGCTACTTCCTTACCAAGGGCTATCAGGAGGGTGGGGATGGCTGTGGGGCTCATAGACAGGATTTGGGACAGGTCAGGGAGATTGCCTTCCCATGCTGTGTTACAATCCTTTGATGCTATGTTTTGCTTTAACATCTAATGGTGTCTATCTACATTTCTCCCTTGGGGGTTAGGAGGTAGGAAGGACTCTGGCATCTCGGGTGATACTCTGGCCTTCCCCTCCCTGTGGCAGTTATGCCCTCCCAGTAGCACAAACCAAGCCCAAGGGCAAAGCTTTTCCCTGAGCTTTTGTCCTGTTTAGGGAAGTCTCTCTGGTGTCTCCACCATGCTGGTACTTTAGTCTCACTGTTGATCCCACCCACCCACAACCCCTTCCCACAAGGCTGTGGTTCCCAGAACCTGTCAAAGGTGATTTTGATGGGGTAGCCTGGCTGTGCTTCGATCACCCAGGCACAGCTCAGAGCATCCTTGTAGAAGCCAGGCCAGCCTGGAGAAAGGATGGTACCACTGGGTGAGGTCAGATGACCACCGCAGGGAGCTGGGGGATAAAGAAAGAAGGAGAGAGAGAGTGAGAGAAATAGCTTTCTTGGGGGACAAATGAAAGAACAAACAAATAAAAATTCTCTTTATAAAATGTGTCGGCCAACAAGGAGTGTTTTGTTTTTATGGAAAATTACATCAACTATATAAGCCGTGAGTTTTGTCTGTTGGGACCTTTATGGATGTGTCTAGTTACATCATTTGGAGGTTTATTAAAGGCTAGAGGGGAGAAATGAAAAGAAGCCTTTAAACAAAGTCCTTTTGTCACGCTGGCAGGGCTGAAATACAGCTAATATTTGGGTCACACTGGCGTTTTCTTTATTCCTCACTCAATTGTCAGGCCTGAGGCAGAGGATCAGGCGGCCTGGCTCCTCCCATCCACACTGGGGAGTGAGTAACTAGAACTCTGCTAGGCTCAGGGCTGCAGACTTCGTGCTCTGCACCATCTTGTCAGCCACAACTCAGAACCCCGACATTTCATACTTAGCACACAGCTGTTACAGGCTGGGTGAATAGATGAAAGGATGAATGAATGCAGCCCATGGCAGGTAACGCCACAAGATACTGATTCCTCATGATGTCCCCACAAACTGTCTGTCTATCTCTGGTCTGGCAAAAGCCTGTTATCCCTTCTCTTTGGGTGGATTCCAATTATTCAGCTTCTTTGGTTTCATCTCCCATCATTCAATTCATTCCTTCTATGTATCATTCAGTTTCTCTGGTCTCATGCATCTGTGCGCCACTCCTGTCTTTCTGTCTTTCTGGCTCATATGATGGTGACCAGAGATCAGGGCACATGGTGTATTTCACTGTTTACCCTTTTTGAAGCTACCATGTGATTACTTTGGCTGATACAATGGGAACAGATGTGATGCACATTGGGTCTGTAATGGAAATACTAAGAGGCAAAGTTTTCTCTTTTTGTCTCAGTCCCCTTGGAAACAGGTTGCGAGCTGGGACTGCTAACTACTGGGCCTGACTCTGAGGAACAGATCCCCAAATGGCCTGTGGTAAACACATAGCTTGAGTGGTCTGTAATCCTGCTTTTAAGCCATTAAAGTTCGAGGGCTGTTTGTCAATGGTCTAACCCAGTCCAAGCTTGAAGATGAGAATGATGGTACCAACCCTCACCAAGGCTGCTTGCCACGGACATGACCACTGCCACTGGCTAGATCCTCACTCCATATCAAGGCATTACCCACATACATAGTCATGTTCACTCCTCATAGAGCAAACAGCCCTGTGAGGTCAGCACTGTTGTCATCTCTTAAGAAAGCTGAAGCTTATATACTAGGTGAGGATTTGCAAGTCATAGAGCCCAGATTTAGACTTAGGAAAGACAGAAGAGAACCAGGGATTTCAAGCTAAGCTCTAAAGGAACACGTGCTTCCTCTGGAACCTCTAACTACAGTGTTACCAGAGACCCAAACCAAACCACCCACCCAACTAACCAACCAACCAATCAACCAACCAACCAACCAAACAAACAAACAAACAAACACACAAATACCCAACCACCCAACCAACCAAACCAAAAGCCTAACATCTGAATAGGATTAAGAAGGGTAGAAAGAAGCTACATAACATGTTTTTGGAGACTCTAGATTTCTCCAGGTATATTTTACCAGTTTCATAAAATATTGCTAAAGGTACCCCACCCCTCTTTTCTGAATTATATAATGTTCTGGAAATATCTGAAACAGCTGGTGAACATTCTTTTTTTGTTTTTGTTTGTCGGTCAATGGGGCTTGAACTCTGGGCTTGGGTGCTGTCCCTCAGCTCTTCAGCTCAAGGTGAGCGCTCTACCACTTGAGCTATAGCACCACTAAATAGATTATTTTTTTTTGGGTCCAGTCGTGAGGCCTGAACTCTGGGCCTGGGCGCTGTCCCTCAGCTCTTCAGCTCAAGGCTAGCACTCTACTACTTGAGCCATAGCGCCACTTCTGGCTTTTTTCTTTTTGCTTATGTGGTGCTGAGGAATTGAACCCAGGGCCTCATGCATGCAAGGCAAGTGCTCTACCACTGAGCCATCTTCCCAGCCTGAGTGGTGAACATTCTTTTGTTTTTCTTTTTAATTGTGAAAATACTGTACAGAGGGGTTACAATTACATGGGCAAGATAATGAGTACATTTCTTATCAAGCATTGTAGCCTCCTCCTTTGTTTCCCCTTCCCATCCTCCCCCGCGGGGCACCCCTTTCCCCCCTCCCCCCCTCGCACCAAAGTTGTAACATTCTTTTTTTTTGGGGGGGGGTCTGGTCGTGGGGCCTGAACTCTGGGCCTGGGCGCTGTCCCTCAGCTCTTCAGCTCAAGGCTAGCACTCTACCACTTAAGCCACAGTGCCACTTCCGGCTTTTTGCTTATGTGGTACTGAGGAATGGAACCCAGGGCCTCATGCATGCAAGGCAAGCACTCTATCACTGAGCCACCTTCCCAGCCTGTGTTGTAACATTCTTAATATCAAATTATACTAGAACTTTAATACGGAAGACAGCAATAATCATAATCATAATAGTAGAAACAGTCAACTCATACTGATGAGTTACTTTTGCTAGTTGCTTCACAGGCATTACCTAATTCACATGTTTGTGAAGTGATCATCTCCACAGAAGAGAAAGTTAAAGCCAAGCAGGTTAAGACACTAGATTGGGAACACTGGGCTAAGGAAGTTAAATCTGAGACTTAACCTCAGACTTCTGCTGCTAAATCCCCTTGTGGTGCATAGCATATTGCAGTCATGGCAGGTAGTAACGAGTTCAGTGCATGAAGAGCTTAGGAGATATCAAAACTTAAGGGTGATTATCTTTGTGACAACTCTATCACTAAAAGGTACATGTATTATTACCCTCAGTTTGTGGAAGGGGATTATTACCCTATTTTCTGTGAACAGAGGCTTAGAGAAACTAAAGTAATTACATAGTGCTTACACCAAACATTGAGAAATAAATTACATATGCATACTGTCACTTCAAGGGTAACCCCAGTTTTCAAAACCTATCCATCATCTTATCGATCAGCCTATTGCTTCTCTCTCCTCCTTCCCTGCACTTTTTTAGACCTTGGTAGTGGACAGAGATATGCCTATGGTTATGTCTCCTTATGCTCTCATGAGGATGCTGTGCCTCAGCAGCCAGGAAGGGCTCCACTCTTTCTAGGCTCCAGGTCAGCACTGGCCCAGATTCTCCTCATTCAATTTCCGGGAAGCTATACTCTACTCCGTGAGGGCCCATCCAGAATCTCCAGAGAGGGAAACTCAGTGTCTGTCTTTGGGGGTTACCACTTTGTGTTCTTTCTCTGTTTGATTGTCTTGTAATTTTAGCTAGTAAATCATTTCTTGTGTTCAGTGATAAAAAGCTGGTCTCTCTATCCATCTAGTCCTTCCTCTCTGTTGTTCATCTTGCTATTCAGTGTGATAGTTGCCTGGCAAGAAGTAGGAGGATTCCTAACTGCAAGGTGTCTTTAATACTTGAAAAGATGCTTGACTTCATTTTTAATTAAAAAAACATAGATCTTGAAACTACAGGGGATCATATTCCTTATCTATTAGCGAGGCACAGACCAATGCCTGATGACATATATGGGCTACAAGAAATTAGAAATTGTGAACCTTGCTGGTAAAAATGCAAAATAGCCCTTATGGAGAGCAATCTAGTAATATTCAGCAAAAAAAATCATATTCACTCCCTGATGCAGCAATTCTATTTCTAGCACTCTATTCCAAAGATATCCTAGCCCAAAAATGTGAAGAAAGCACATACATATTGTAAAAGGCGATACAAGGCTGCATCATTTGTACTCACAAAAGAGCGTAAATAGTGCACATGTTGGATAATAAGAGTCCAACTGAATTAACTCGGGTGACCAGACAAATGGGCTGTTTATGCAACTATAAAACAAATACAAGGAACAGGGAACATAAAGTTGTGGACTAGTCTCCTGAATATGTTACTGGGTGAATGAAAGCCAAGTAGATTATTGTGGGCAAATCTAATTCTGCATAAGAGGAGTACTAAGGTTAAATTAATATTAAAGTGTTAATAATCATTTAGATCAACAATCAGTGCAAAGGTAAACCAAAGCCAGGAAGATTCCACAGAAAGCAGGAAGGGACAGCGTTGAAACTGAGTAAATGTTTTACATAATTACAAAGGCAGATTAAATTTGATATGCCTTTTCTCTATCCCCCAAATGAATATAATAGCATACTGGTTGGGAATGTAGTCAGACAGAAAAAAGTAGCTGAAGAGATTTTTTTTTAACAGACAGTAGTCAGATAGTCCATTCCAAAGAGGCAATATGGACAAAAAGAACTGACAATTATGGTGACGATGAAGGTTGAGACTATTTTTCTTCATCATGCTGAGGTGCTGGTATACTATCCCTATGCTAAAATTCCAGGGAATGAATTATGACACAGGGAGTTATGATGGTGTTTTGGAACTTGCAAATACAGATATGATTATCAGCAAGACTACGGTAAAAAGAAATGAAATGAAATGAACTCACAATGTGTTTTCTTTTAAAGAAACATTTTTCTAGCTGTATTCATTGAAAAAGCTTAGAAACAAGAATTAGCATCCAGTGTCCAGATTCTAAACATCAATTTCCACTAAAAGGAACCAGGGCTCCTCAGAGAAACAACTGGCTCAAGGTAAGGGGTAGAAAATGGTGGGCAATTCTCAAAAAGCTCTTTTGAGAAGGAGGGGGGTGTTGGGAGGGGAAAAAGTAGGAGGGGGTAACACTGTTCCAAAAATAAAGGTACTCATTGCCTGACTTATATAACTGTAATTCCTTTATACATCACTTTTTTTAAAAAAAATAAGTTTTTATTGTGACAATACTGTACAGAGGGGTTACAATCACATGAGCAAAGTAATGAGTACATTTCTTATCAAGCATTGTTGCCTCCTCCTTTGTTTTTCCCCTACCTTCCCTGCCTTCACATCTCCACAACAAATTAAGCCCCCCCCCCATTGTAAATTTCGTTTTTCAACATCTCATTGTTGCAATGGGTCCACCTGTATCCTTATTTAAATAATTTGCTTTTTCCCTTCTGCTCCCCAAATTATACCAACATCAAATACAGGGGTTATACCGTGAGGGAGGGACATACAAAGCAACAAAAAAATCACTTTTTTTGTTTGTTTTTATTTGGTCAGTCATGGGGCTTGAACTCTGGTTTGGGCACTATCCCTGAACTCTTCAGCTCAAGGGGCAAGTGCTCTACCACTTTAGCTATAGTAACACTTCTAATTTTCAGGTGGTTAACTGGAGAGAAGAGTCTCACTAACTTTCCTGCCCAGGTTGGCTTTGAACTGTGATCCTCAGATCTCAGCCTCCTGAGTAGCTAAGATTACAGTCGTGAGCCACTGGTTGTACATCACCTTTACAATAACATTTTAAAAAAGAAAAAAGAAAAAAAGGGACTGCTGCTAGCTAGTGAGACAATGAAGCATCAGTTAGAATCATAACTGCAATAGACTTAAATACACAAAATTGCAATCCAGTTGTATTGCAATAATATTTGAAAAGATTCTACTTTGAAAGGTGTTAGGTAGTCAACTTGCTCATATGAAAACTTGTAAATAAAGGAAAATAATGGAAGTTATTTCTCCCATCTTTCCTTTGCTTTTTAAGAATCCCAGCTCATAAAACAAGGAACTGAAATGTCTCTGTGCTATGAACATCAATAGCTCCCAACATCCTCAAAAGAGAGGCCATGAGTCCTTATGTGGCTCTGATAGAGACATAGGTTCTGCCTATTCAATATTCTGGTTAAAGTATGGAACCCAAGTTGTGTTAAGTTTCTAGAGCTTAATGCCAATTCAAGCAAATATAAGAGAAAGGTGAACATGCCAAACAATCTCTCAGGGAAGTAATCAGCAAAATTCAGAAAATAAGAAGAGACTCCTCAAGATGAATGATCTGCCTTCTTCAGTTTAAAAAAAAATCACAGGAGGTAGGATGAACACCCATGGCTTAGAAAATGACTTGAGACCTCTCTGTCCACTGTAATGGATGATTTCATTTTCTAAAGCACAGGTATAAGAAAAGAACACTTGATTTTGATAAGTAATTACTTTTTAAGATAACAGAACTGTGGTTGTGGGTGTGTGTGTGATTTTTTTTGGTGATACTGAGGTTTGAACTTGGGGCTTAATGCTTACTAGGTAGGCACACTGCTGAGACACACTGGCAATCCTTTTTGAATTATTAATTTTTGAGATAGGGTCTTTCTTCTGCCTGGGTGCATGCCTGGACTGTGATCCACCTATCTGAGGCTTCCTATTGTGGCTGGGATGGCGGGCCTGGGTCACCATATCCAGTTTCTTTTCCTTGATATCATTTTGTTTTAAAGGGTTCCTTTTTATCTGCTAGAAATACATATTAAAATGTATCAGACTTCTTTACTTTCTTTTAGATGAATGTAATATTATATCTCAAATTTATCCCAGAGCAAGCAGGGCAGTGGTGTAGGGAAAAGTAGAGGCCATGGATTCACAGGGCAATCTGAGAGAGAGGTGTACGGGGGTTCATTATTCTGTCCTATCTGTTTTGGTTAAATTCTGAAGTTTTCTATTGAAAAAAAAGTTAGGGCAGGCTGAGTGGTGGTTCATGTTTGTAATTCCACCTACTTAGGAAGAAGTGGAGATTAGGATCTTGGTTCAAGACCATCCTGGGAAAAAAGTTAGTGGACCCTCATTTCCCCAAGAATACTGGATGTGGCTGTGCAAGCCCATATCCTTGGCTATGTGGGAGATGTAAATAAGAGAACTGAAGTTCAGGCTGGCCAAGGCAAAAACACAGGTTATAATCATCACTTAGATTTCTATGGGGATTGGGGTGCACTGACTTTTTCCTTCACTGCCTGATTATAAACATATACAGAGACAAGTATGTGGATATATTTATAACAAGTGCTTTTTGTTTGTTGTAGTTGAAACAATAGCAACATATAGTTCAGGCTGGCCTTGAACTCACAGTCCTGCTGCCTCAGCTTTCCAAGTACTGGGATTAGTATACACCAAAGTCTTAAACCATTTTCCTCTGGGGAATGGGACCAGGAAATGAGTGTTTTCATGTTGAACTTTATCACACTTCTGTGTACTGTCGACAACTTTTACAAGTCTGAGCATCCCTTTAAACATTAAAACATGAAAACACACTAAAAAATGTGCTTCTTGTAAGCAGAATATTTTTTTCTAAACTCAGTCTTTTTCTTTTAGTAGGGATTTTAATTACCTTTATTATCATAACTGATACATTTGTTTCACTACTGTCATTTTTTTAATGCTGTCAATTTCTGCCATGTGGTGTCTTGTCTTCTTTGTCTTTTGTAATAGGCAATGTTTCCTTTTGCTTTAATTTTCTATTGGGAGGTAGAAAATAGAAACCTCACTTTTCATTCTTATTTGTGGATGCTTTTAAGTCTTTCATAAACATACTGTCATTATAGTCTCTCTAGTGATACAGTTCAAAAATTCATTAGCACAGTAGTCAAGGGTCTGTGTGTGAATTCTGGATCCACTAGGTACAAACAGTGAAGGCCCTGAACAGGCAGGGTGGGTCACTGGAAGGTGACTTGCCCTTCTGAGCCGGGCCCTAGTGGGGACAATAACTATAACTGTTTCTCTGATGCAAGGTTAAGTGAGGTGACACTTGTAAAACACTTCTGTTGTTGAGTACAGTTATTTGATTCTTTCTTAAGGAAAATCAAGGAAAGGATGAATGTGATCAATAATCAGACACCCATAGTTAGGGGCTGACCATCACTGCTGAAAAGTCTTTCTTAGGAAACTTCAGATTTTAAACACACAGACCAATCATGTCCTCTGTGCTCCAGATTTATGTCATCAAACTATTGGCCACAAGTTAAACTCAACCTGCCTGGTTGCTTATGTTATGAGAAAGCAGCCTGTGGCCACAAGGTTGGAAACATTTGCTCTCTGGCTCTTTAAGAATGCCCACCCCTGCTTTCCATCCACCCAATCATCCTCCTTCCTTCTAAATTTAGGAGAAGCCATTTTCTCTCATGTCCTGTTACTGCCTCTCCAAACCCAAGTGGCTCTTAGCATATATTAAAAGATTTTCTAAAAGACCATTAGCTTCTGTATTTAATTGTCCACAAGGTGGGGATGCTTAATCAAAAACAAAACTAGACAAGATGGAAAGGACAAAGATGCTGACCACAAAGTAGGGACCTACCAAGGCTTGAACCAAAGGAAGGAATGGGGCCAAGGAGGGCAGGTTCCCACAGGCTTCCTTGTGAGGTTTCAGGGCTGGGCTTTGGCCTTTATCAGCCTCTGTCATGGACTGCTCCCAGATCCCACAAATGATATCAGGAATGGCCATCACTCTGGGAAAACAGAGTCGGCTCCCTCCTGGGTCAGACAGGGGATCAAACAGGCCATCTCTTATTTTGATGCCAACCTTCCCCAAACATACAGTGTGACCCCCAAGTTGGAGTAAATTCTGATCTAATTGGTTCAAAGTGGAAATGGTTAAACTAATGCTACTCTTCCAGCAGGTACTAATCCAGCAGCCACACACGCTTCTACTAACCTTGCGAGGAGGCTCCATGAGTTACCTGCATTTTACAGTGGCCCAGCTGCTTGCCCAGGGTGACCTGGCTGGTGAGGTGTAAGGTAGAGAGCGCAGGGGGCCTGATGAGAGATGGGGCTTTGAGGAGCTTTCACTGACACGTTTCTCACTAGGAAGGTTCTAGCCTAGTTACATTCATTCATTCATTCATTTGCTCAGTGACTTATCAACCAGTAATGACTAGTCATGTCATCTACCAAGTGTGCTAGGTGAGATGAGGCTGAATTTATGGAGCTCATCCAGCAGTGGGACCTCAGCTCACATTTGTGAACATTTTTTTGCCGTGCTTGCTCTTTTCTATATACATCCATACTCTACTTATTCCTACCTCTGCTGTTATTTTATTTTATTTTTAAAATAAAAAAAACCCAAGAGGTCCAACAATCATCTGGATCCCAACTACATATAGCGTGGTATGGATTCTTTCTCCCTCTTTTCCTATATACCCAACCACCAAATCAGGGGCAATGCTCTCTTTAAGTTCTCCTACTTGTGGTCAGGCTGGTCAGACTTGGGGTTGGGGATTGGGCATGTACAGAGGCATCTGGACACGAGACAAAGAGACTTTCACCTTTCATAAAGGTGAGAACCACAGCCTCAGTCTTCTTGGTCACTGTCACAGTCCTTCAAGGACCTTTGGGATATATATTATTCATCTATCATTGCCAAGTAGCTATTGAGCACTGATTCTGTGCCAGGCACTGTGTTTGGCACACACATGGGACATGATCCTTACTCTCAGGGGGCACCATCTGCCTTTGAAGTGCCTGCAGTCTGCTGGAACAGACGGCTGGTCTCTGAAGTTGACTTAGAACTGCCCTGTGAGGTGAAACGGGATGAGCAGATGCCGTAATGAGCCCAGCCCTTGCGGTGAGCTATGTTTCTTCCAGCTGTTTTGCCCTCTGTTACCCAGAGATTAACCAGAAGGATATCAAGTTAGCATTTAACCAGGGCACAAGAGCTGGAAGAGGAAGAGAGCCCAGGGAACTGGGGAAATGAGCACGTGGAGGAGAAAAGAGTGACAGGCAGCCTGAGAGACTGGGGAATTCATATCACTGCCAGTTTGTGTGTGGCTGCAGGCTCCTCCCTCTCCCCCCACCAGAAGCTGGAAACAAGGCTTCTGGTGGCTGTAACATGGAGAGTTCCCAGGAGAAAAAAAAAAGTCCTAGGTTATGGTTCAAATTGCTGTGCAGTGTTTCCAACTAAGCCCCATTTTTCCAATGTGAGGATGAGGGTGAGCAGTGGCCTTGAGCCCTGGAAGAAGTGGATGCTGAAAGGGATCACTGTGATTCAGGCCTCTTGGTTTGGCTCTCCAACCTCTTTGGAGCAACCCCCAGGCTCTCTCGTCACGTACCTTCACAGCGTAACACAGCACTGTTCCAGACCACGCTGCCCTCCTTCAGCACACAGGTGATGGTCTCTGAACCCTGTGTGCCAAGGAAGCCTTCATCACACAGGAAGGAGATGGAGCTGCCTAGTTGCAGGCTGTCACCAAACCGTTTGCCATTGACTGGAACACCAGGATCCGGGCACTCATTGTGACGGAAGGCTGTGTGGATGGGCACCAGGACACAATTAGAAAGAGCTGGTATGAAGATGGAACCCCAAGGAAAATGAGCTTCATTATGATGGTCAACACCAGACCTCTACCACTTCCCCAAGTTCCCTCAAGAACTTGCCATGCTGGGACACAGGATGCCAGGGTTCCAACTGGTAAGCCCCTCTGGGTATGAAACAGGGACTTGTTATGTTGAGTTCTGGCCTTTCCCTGGTACTTCCCTTCAATGGATGTTTATAAATTAGGCAGTGAACTAAGTGTTTGTTAGCTCATGTGCATCAGAGCATTAGTCCACCAAGTAGACATCATTACAAATGAATAAACTGAGGCTTACTGTGGCTAAGGAACAGACCTGGTTCTCCAATGTCAAATCTATTCTGTGTTTCCCTAACTTCTGACAATGATGGGATCATTTATGCTGCAGGTAAGCTCCCTCTCAGTTCTGTGATTCTAATAGACACTAAGTATCGTAAAAGAGGTGCCCTGGAATTAACCCTGTCTGAAGCCATTCCCTTCATTTCCCTGCCTCTTGTCAGGGCTGATTCTCCCTCTCCCCAGGAAGAATGATGGTATAGAGAGCAGAGAGAGAAAAGAGATTTCACTGGGAATTTGTTTCTTATTATGATTTGGTCCTGGACATCCCATGACATCTCACTGAACCTCGAGTTCCTGACTTCATTTGCAGGCTTATTCTGAGATGGAAAGGAAATGGACATAGATAAGAATGTGAAGGGAATAAGTATTGCATGGTGTACCCTAAAGATGATTATATATGCTGAGAGGACGCATTCCTTTCTCCTCTTCCCCACGTGGAGATGCTCCTTCCTGTACCATCGCTGCCATGCACATTTCCAGCCTCCCTCCACCAGACATGTCATGTCATTCTCCTGTGAAATGTCTCTGAAGCCAGGCACTATGTCTGTCTGCACTGTTCTAAGGATGGTTGACTTGTCCTGGGAGACCACGTGCCGTGGTTGCCTGGGCATGTGTCATTTGAAAGAGATCTATTTACAGGTCGCCGACATTCCCTAATGACAGAGACACAGGCACAGTCAGGCATAGACTGGCTCTGGAGGCGGCTGGATCTTGCCAAAGACCAGAGGCCTGCATAGCTCTGATCCTCCCATGGCAGGCGGCTATGGGTCTCTGATGGGCAGACTTTTGGGATGACTTGTATAGGGTTGAGTTCTCATGCACAACCCACACTGCAAAGTCCAAGTCAGTCCAGACTCAACCTCTTACCCTTTCTCCATTAGGAACTATGTCTATGAAGGTGTTCTGGCACGTAGGTGTGGCATGGGAAGAAAAGTGCTGCTTGGAGTCCAAAAGTCAAGGGCTTTTCTATTCAAACTCTATCAGTCACACACATACACAAATACAGGTACACATCAGGAATTGTCAATTTCTAATCTCTGAGAGCAAGGACTTAATGCCTTGTTCATTTTCTGTCTATGCACTTTCTCAAGGCCTATTTTCTTTGACAGGTTTAAGCAGATGAAGTTTCACTGTGAGATCAAGCAGTGATGTTGAAAGAGTGCCCTGCACAGGGACTGGCACATAGTAGGTGCTCAGAAAATAGCAGCTACTGTCATCATTGTCCAACAGAACTCTGTGTGCAACAATGATTAGTTTTGCTCCCAGGAATTTACAAAGGTGGTAACAAATTACTGATCCTTGTTACAGATATGTAGATTTCAAGTTACATGCAAGAAACACATACTTACTGTGTCAGCAGAGGTGAGCTCTCCTATACTGTGCAAAACAGAGCTTACCTTGGATGATCAGCAGTTGAGATAGGGAGGAGATTTAACTTCCTTCCTGCATTAGCTCCCAAACACCTATCCAAGGATGTATTATACACTGGCTGCATTTGAACCCATCACCTCTACTGTGAGAATACAGCCTCTGGTTCCTCATTCCTCTAGTGGTTCTGATTAGCAGGTCTCAGATAGGGCCTAAATTTTAAAGAAGTTTTCCTCCTTGTCCATCTAGCTGTCTATATGCATAAATGCACAGAAAAACATCTGCTCTCTGTGATCAAGTTGCTGAATGCTGGCAAGAATTGTTTCTGGAAAAGGGATTTGGGGAGGTAGTTAGCATTTCTTTCTTGGTATATCCTGCCCCCCCCCACCCCCTTTTAAAGAATATGTGATGCTTACAAAGCTAGGGAGGGCTGATGACATTCAAGTTGACATAGCTCTCTGAGCTAACCTGGGCCTCCTCTTCCTCAAGGACTCACCCATTCCCCAAGGACTCAGGATTTGCTCCTTATTGGACAGAAGGGGTTTTCTAGGATCTCATTTGTCTTGGACACTATAAGCATCCGTTTTGTCCCAACTTCTCTCTCAGTGATTTCTCAGCTTTCACTAACCCGGATGAGTGGGGGCTTCCTTGGTCTCCATCTTTCCCATATTCTTGTCACTTCCCCTGGCTATGAAAGAGCATGTAGCTAGCATTCACAATCCTCCCATCTGCTAAGTACTCCCTGATACTTACTGCACACACTAGGCAGGCCCTAGGCTGAACACAGGATAAAAAGAAGGGTGATCAAATCCCTTACTTCTTCCCAGTGCTCAGATCTCATGGAAAACAAGTATAAGAATAGAGAACTACAAACCAGAACCCTTGATGCTAGACTAACATGTTTGGGAAAGGCAGAGCCAGTCTCCACTTCCTTCTGTCCTTGGATGATGGAGTCAGGGGTCCCCTGGAGGAGATGACACTCTGGGAAGGTTGATTGTTTTCAGCTAAGTCTGGTGTCCTAAAGAAAGGTGGTGACTGGACTGGAGCCTTAGTCTGAGTGTTCACTTGGAACACTCAGACTAACCACATAGCATTGAAGTCTTTAGTTCAACTGAGTTACAAGGACAGCTGGGAGGGTCAGGAGGGCAAGCCCTTTATTAAAAGGGTAGGGTCAGGAGCAGTAGTTCTGTTCAAAGTATCTATCAGAGGAGGAGCTCTCTCCTTGTGTACTGGGTGTGAGTTAGAGCCTAAATTGGGTCTTTGGATTTTCAAGCAGCCTCTAGGAAAGCACTTGGTAATTGTTCAGAAGACCTAGCTTCAGCCCCAAATGACTATAACTAAGTTCACCAGGAGGCTTGTTGTACCCAGTCTCCAAGTTTCTGCCAATCTAGCTACCTTCCCCTCCCCCATGCCTACTGCAATAGAGAAATGAAAGGAGTCACGGTTGTATCTAGAGAAGGAGCCCAAGGCAGAGATGAGAGATGACAACTTCCAGACTGGAGCCATGAGATGAATAGAGAGAAAATGTTCAGGGAGTCAGCTGCAATATTCCCTGGGGATATTGCTCTCTACTCCTGCTTCGGCTTGACTAGGGAAATGTGGTGATCAAAGCAGAAGTTTGGGTAAGAATACCAAAGGTGAGTAGGCAGTAGTGTTCAGGGGTCCGGGGGAGCACATCAGAGAGGGAACCAGGAGCTAAGTAAGGAGAGAATGTCAAAAGCTTTCTTCCTTTAGATCCTCCATACTTCTTGCAGGAGGAGGGAGAGAGGTCAGGAAATGAGGTTCTTGATTCTTTATAGGACATCTACAATCACCCAAGGAAATAGAATGCTCACAGAGTGACACCAGACAGGAGCAGCCAGGTCAGCGAGCAACCTTCATGATTTACTCTGGCACATTGTGTGCTCAGAGCTTCACGTTTGGCCCTATAATCCAACACTGTCCTTGTCACCAGCCCACTCACATCAATAGTCCTCCATGGAAGCACGCTGATCATGCTCACAGGTGGACACTGAGGGACAGTCAGCTGAAGCAGAGGGAGCACTCACTGGTAAAGGTGATGTTGAATCCTCTCTTCCCTGTGGAGTGGTCAGTCTGGAATTCGAGGCGGGCCACATGGCCGCTGCTTGTGATGGATGAGGGGAGCTGGTTTCCAGAGAAGGTACCCAGGACTGGGGCCTCAGCAGTAGCTCCATCTTTGATGACTAGGAAATCAAACTGAGGCTCCACGTCAATATCATTGAAAGCCAGATGGATGCGACTCTCAGGTCGAGCTAGGATGAGCCAGACACAGTGGAGGTGGTTGCCATAGTCTTCTGGGTAGTTGGGAGACAAGACAATCCCAGAGGGGCTGGTGAAGTTGAAGAAACAGGAAACTGCAAGAGAAAAGCAATGTGGTCAGTTAGTGGCTACAATATTCTACTAGGGCCACTTAGGGCTGGCATAGGGAATGTTTTCTCAACTATAAAGCAATAGGAAGAAAGGGGGTCACTGGGATTGAGTTAGACTACTTGGGCTCTGAGCTCTAGTTGGGAGGAGGAATACTAACATCCATGCTGGGGAAGGTGCTAGAGGTCTCTTTGGCAAATAATAGACATGGTGGAGTTGGGTTGCTTTTGGACTTGTTCGCCCTTTCAATATGTTAGTGCCCAGGAAACCTCTGCCTGCTTGGTCCTTGGTGTTGGGGGAAAACATTGTTCAAGCTTAAGTGGAGAGAGGCACTTTCTCAGCTTGGTTTTCAGCAGGGCAGGGATTGTTTAATGATTCAACAGTGGCAATCTCCTAATGGAGATATTTTTGATGGGGAAATGATGAGGAGCCATGGGGATTCTGACAACTTCAAGCCACAACAGATACTATGAGGATGAAGAGCCACATGAGCCCTGCCTTTCAAAGACCAAAGCTTCTGAGTGATGTGGGTGAGGGAGGTGACAGGGCCCTATGATCTGTCCCCTATTTCACCCTAATAATCCACTTTTCCAAAAGCCCTCATTTCAAACCATTTCCATGCCAATCGCTAACAGATTCCAGAAGGAGAGTGAAGGCAGAAAACTGCTGTAAACCAACCAGTAAATTTGAAACCAAAACTAAAAAAGGAAAATAATAGCATGTAAACCAAATAATTGCAACAACTATGAACAGGAAGCTGTCAATATTGAGTTGAAGCTTTTATAATTCTACAGGATTATCACCAAGATGATAGAAAAAATGCCCAGAGGATTCATTTGAAAGAAAAGAGAATTAATTTGAAAATACAGTCCATGTTGCTAGAAAAAGATAAACCTCAATACTGTTGGGGCTTTACAGGAACTCATGTATTTACTGCTGGTTACAGAGTGAGGCAGATGTAACCCTTCTGGAAGTGAGTGTCTTGAGATCTTACAAGGATCCCCAGAACTATTCAAATCCCATTTGTAACCACTAGGAATTAACTCAAAAAGAGCCACATGGACAGAGATGATGAGACTGACACAATGGGATTATGGAGGGAGAAAAATGCAACAACTTCTACGTCAGCTCTATAAAGTAAGGTGAATTACAGCTATTAACGTGGCATAGCACGATTGCATCGTTAAAATGATAAATATGACCCTGCAGAGAGGGTGTTCGTGATCATTTTAAGTAAAACAGAGATCGTAAAATTATATGTGTACTTTTGATGAGAGCTATTAAACACTTGTGTGTATGTGGATAAAGATTGGACTTGAGCCCCCAAATAAAAATGGTGTTAGGGTAGTGGGTTTCTGAATATTATAATTTTAAAAATGCAATGACACTTTCTTTTGTGACTGCAAAAATACTCTGGGTGTATTGTCAATATTTTGTTTAAAATATATAAAAGTCTGAGAGGTTAAAATGAATGTGTGTAATCATTTAAATCCTTTCTTAACATTTGTATTTATATTAGGTGCTAATAATATTGGAACATAAATGAGTATAACATTTGGCTTACTAATTACAATGAAAGTAAGATGAAAAATCATAATGAAGTCATGTTTGCCAAAGGGGAAGTAAAAAGAGAACACACAAAATAAAGACAGAGGCAACTCATTGTCAGGAATGTCTTCCTGGTCCTATCTGTGGGACCCTCTGCACCACTGACATTGGATCTCCTTTTCTAAGGAGGTGTTTCTTTTGCCAGCCTGCTGCTGAAAATCCATTCAGCAAATTCAGCAAAGTGAGACCAGACCCTAACACACACTGATCAGTCTCAGCTTTGTAATCCTTGTCTTTGTTAAGTATAGAAAGAAATTTGGCTGGGGGAGGGAAAGATATGGAAAATTTTTTAGACAATAGAAGATAAAGTCAGTATAAATGATTGGGTCCGGAGCTAGTGGCTCATGACTGTAATCTTAGATGCTCAGTCTCATGGTCTGAAGCCAGCCTGGAAGACAAATCCGTGAGACTCTTGTTTTCAATTACCCAGCAAAAAAGCTGGAAGTGGAGGTGTGGCTCAAATGGTAGAGAACTGACCTTGAGCAGAAAAGCCAAGCCAGAGCTTAAAACCCTGAGTTCAAGCCATAGTGTTGGAGTGTGCACATGTGTGCCCCCACACACAAATACATACACATACACAGCAGTGATTGGTATATTCTACTGAGGGTTAGCTAAGCACAGATACCCCTCTAACCACTCTAATAATTAATTACAGTTCAGCTGCCACAATAACACTATGAGCTGGGAACCATTAACACTGAAAACTGAAAACACTGAGGCACAGAGGTCAGTAACTTGCCAGGGTCACCTAGCTGATAAACGGTAATGCCAAATACAAATCCAAGCAGTTCCACCCCAGGGATGAAGTTCACATCCAACCCACAATAATACTGTCTACTGGATCTAAGTCCACCAATAGAGTCCTTGAAGTCCTGGCATGCTGCCTGTCTCCCTCAAGTATTCCATGAGTACTAGATGGACTAGATGTGGATGTACACACAGAGCCATACACAGTCTCTCTCTAGCTTTGGGCTAGCCGAGGTGGGAGCATCATGAGAACTACACCCAAAGGCAGTGACCTTCAAGACAGAAAGAGGCAAATCATGTGCCCTATTAAACCAGTCCAAGATGGACTATAGACAAAGATAAATGGCTATAGTTTCATAGGAAAGATGGTTAGGGACGTTGTAAGCATGGGAGCAGACTGACGGTGCAGAGAAGACTTTAGTAACAGCTGAGCTCTCATCCCCTACCCCTGTCACTCTATTACTTTATTATGTTTTCTTTATAGCCTTTTCACTGGGGTACTACTTTGGATTTTGATGGTAACTTCATTTATCCCTTGTTTACTTGTTTCTTTGCTTATGGTCAGGACCTCCTCTCCCCAACATACATACAGACATCCAGGGGGCAGAAGTCTTGGCTGTTTGAGGCCTCTGAACTTCTAATGGCTCCCACAACACCTAGCACATTGTAGGAACTTAAGCAATACTTGTGAATTCCTTCACAAGGAATTTCCAGAGTTAGGAACCACCTGATGGTGACATTGGAATGTGGGCCTTGCCACCCCATCTTATACCAAACCTCAAACACCAGAATTGGTCAACACCTATAACAATAGACTTGTGTCAATCTAGAAACCAGGGGGAAATAGTTTAGTGTGACCCTTAAAACATTTCTCTTAGGTGAAATGGATATGTGGTTCTGAATAACTTAAAGCAGAAAAAGGTGTGATCCAGTAACACCCTTCAAGAGCAATGACAACAAACAGCTATTCTCAAGTATCAAAGACTAATAACAGAATATTCACATAACATTCATAAAGTAGCCCCTGAAGATTTTTTACCCAACCTAGAGATTAATTAAAATGAACACCTTAAGGATAGGAAAATGTGGTGAATAAGCAATAAAAAAATTAATGCCAGGTGCCAGTGGCTCACACCTGAATTCCAGATACTCCAGAGGCTGAGATCTGAAGATTGTGGTTTGAAGCCAGCCTGGGCAGCAAAGTTCATGAGATTCTTATCTCCAATGAACCAGCAAAAGGCCAGAAGTGGAGCTGTGGCTCAAGTGGTAGAGTGCCAGGCTTGAGCAAAAAAGCAAAGGGACAGCATGTAGGCTCTGAATTTAAGACTGCTATGGGTGTATACACACAGACACACACACACACACACACACACACACACACACACACACTTACAGAAAAAGAAATAAAAGAAGTTAGCATCAAGCAAATACACCACTATAGTAATGAATCTAAATAACTGCTATAAAGGTGGTTCTAAAAATGGAATGTAAATGCACCAACATTCCTTGGAATACAAAGTATGGGATATGAAGCCCACCCAAACCCTAGAGTGAAATATTTCAGATCATACAGGAGAAACAGTAAAGTTGGAGCAAGGAGATATGCTAATGCCTTCATTTTGCAAGAGATTCAGTTTCATAGTTTCTGTGGTTAATTAGAGAAATATAGGTTAGGAGTATGTATTTAAAGATGTTATATGTAATTAGTAATAGAATATGAAGTACCTTATCTTCAAAATTACCAAAAGGGGATACAGCAAAGCAGTCAATTTAGAAAAAACAAGTAGGAATCAAAGGAAAACAAAAAGACAAGGAAATTCAAAGAGGGAAACTGCAAAGTAAAAAGCATTTAAAAAAAAAACCCAAATGTAATTTAGAACAATAAATGGATACAGGTTAACCACCTAATAAAATTAAACTCTGGCCTGGCAAAATATAGCCTGAAACAAAGTGATTAAATACATTTTTCAGTGCCCACAAGCCCAACTTTCTTACTTGATTGGTGGAGGTCCTAAAAGTTCCCCAGGTGATCCTATATTGCAGCTGGGGTTTAAGAACAGCTGGGAGCAAATGGTTGTGACCACAATGAAAACTGGTTTTCATGTTAACATTAGATGCCTGCGGAGTATGCTTTATTATTTTTTAAAATATATTTTATTATTTTTAAGTAGCTGTACAAAGGAGCTGCCATTCAACAAAGCAGTTTCTGAATGCAATGCATCTTGATCAATCAGATTAACAGCCTGCTGAACACTTACTCAGACATTTCTTCTTGTGCTTGTAAAGAGATGGGAGCTAAGAAGTTGATACCATGAGAGTTAGAATGTGGCCTTACAAAGTCCCAACTTCCAGCTCAAAAGGTAACCCTGCCCTGTCCCTTTGAGGATAGGAGAAGAAAAAAAAAGATCCATAAAGGTATAATCAGAAGAATATATATGCATATTATATGCACAATATAACACAACATGCATATATAGTTCAGAAGATAAACTTTTGATCTCTACTAGAAATCAGGAAGAGCTGGTTTCTCAACATCTCAAATAAGAAGCAATAGAAAAGACTTCAATTGGATTGCTTCACTGTCAGTCATTCTGCTTAGACGAAGGGGAGATCAGGTCCTCCCCTTCTAAAA